TTCCCTGGTAGGAGACAAAAGAAAGATATACAGCACATATCTATTACAGGTGGATATACAAATACCGCAAGTGTTTGCTTTATAAAAAGAACACTACTAATCCTTTTTATGTAAAACTAGTAACCCCAAACAGACAAGTATCTTTTGAGTAGCCAAGCATTTTTTCAAGGAAAGAGAATGTTTTGTTAAATTGCATTCTCTTTTATAGGATTTTTTTGAAAACTAAAAATGGCAAAACTTAGCAAGATACCATCAATACCATTTACTTTTCCTGCACATGTAGGAAGACCTCATTACCCAGCAGCCTCCTGTGCAGCCTCAAGTGGGGTCCAGAGACCAGGCTCTGGACAGTAGAAGTAGACAGAGGTGACATGACAGCCTTGGGTGGGGTCCTGAGACCAGGTTCTGGATCAGAGGTCCTCAAACTTTTTAAACAGGGGGCCAGTTCACTGTCCCTCCGACCGTTGAAGGGCTGGACTACGGGCCCTGGGATGAGTCAGCTGTTAAGCAGACAGGCAGCGGTGGCAAAAACACCTGGCAGGCCGGATAAATGTCTTAGGTGGGCCATAGTTTGAGGATGCCCGTTCTGGATGGTGAATTAGATGGAGGTAACGTGACAGTCTTAGGTGGGGTCCTGAGACCAGGTTCTGGAGGGTGAAGTAAATGGAGGTGACATGATAGCCTCAAGTGGAGACCCAAGATCAGGTTATGGAGGGTGAAGTAGACATGACAGCCTTGGATGGGGTCAGGAGACTAGCTTTTGGATGGTGAAGTAGACAGAGGTGACATGACAGCCTTGGGTGGGGTCCCTAGACCAGGTTCTGGGCAGTGGAAGTAGATGGAGGTGACACAACGTTCCACCCTCCCAAACCCCATCCAGGTGGCAAAGCTGCATGTGACAGAAGCCATGAGGAAAGCTGAGAAAGCCACCAAGATGTGTTTGAGAAACCTGAACAACCTAAATCCACTGAAACGTAGTTACAATGTGCCCTTAGCCCAGGGTTCTCATCAGCAGCACTACTGACATTTTGCACAGGGTGGTTATGAGGACTGTCCTGTGCACTGTAGGATGTTTAGCAGCTTCCTGGCCTCTCCCCCTGCTTGTGACAACCATAAATATGTCTCCAGACGTTGCCAAATGTCCTGAGAAAGTGCTCAAGGTTGAGAAGTGCTGAGGTTCTGAGCTCAGTGATGGGGCTGAGCATGGGGCAACACAATACATCACACACACATTCTTGTTTTTTATTATAGTTTTTTTTAACTTATTAAATTGTAGGGGGTACAATGTGATGATTTGATATTCAATGTGGAATGCTTAAATCAACTGATTAACATAACCATAACCTCACTTATTTTTTGTGGTAAAACATTTATAATATACTTAGCTTTGATAAAATACGTTCCTGTTTTTTTTTTGAGACAGAGCCTCAAGCTGTCCCCCTGGGTAGAGCGCCATGGCATGACAGCTCACAGCAACCTCCCACTTCTGGGCTCAAGGGAGTCTCCTGCCTCCGCCTCCCAAGTAGCTGGGACCACAGGCACCCGCCACAACGCCCGGCTATTTTTTGGTTGCAGCCGTCATTGTTGTTTGGTGGGCCTGGGCTGGTTTCGAACCCACCACCTTAGGTGTATGTGGCTGGAAGCTTAGCCACTTGAGCCACAGGCGCCAAGCCGTATAATTTTTTTTTAAGGAAAAAATCCTCAGAAGGAATTCAGTAGAGGTTGGTTCTGGATACAGGATTCAGGGCAAGGTGCACTTTCTCGTAACTTGTGAGCTCTACTTTTCCTACACTGGGCTCGTTAAACTTTCAGTTACATCAATCTTTCCCACAAACAATGCCCTTTGGTTCCCCAGTTTCTCCAATAAAACCCCGGGCTGTTTGTACCTCTTATTCTGTCCATTTCATGAGGTTTGGTGGCAGAGTCTATAAACTCAAATTAAAGGTTTACTAAAACTTTAATGTCTAAGTTTAAGGGGTGTGTGGCTACTTAAACTCAACAGAACATGAGATCAAAACTGAGACTGCTGTATACAATAGATAAACGTTTTTTGTTTTTTTTTTTGCAGTTTGGCCGGGACCAGGTTTGAACCTGCCACCTCCAGTATATGGGGCCAGTGCCTTTCTTCTTTGAGCCACAGGTATAAAAACCATTTGGAAACAGTTTAAATTAACTGCCTCAAGTTTCCACCTATAGGTGCAACTTAAATTTAATATCCCCAATTCTACTTTTGTTTTTTTCTAATTTCACAATAAACTTATTTTTCTAGGTTCAGATAATCTAATTTTGCAAAACAGAAAATGAGAAATGAATTATATTTATCCAAACTATAATCAGCAGTAAGCAGGCTGTTTACGCTCTGAAGGTTACCAACACAATGATCATACTTTCAAATTAAAGTCTAAAACTATTAATGCTCAGTGTCACATTCGGGAGTAGCATACGTATCAGTTACAGAAAAGAAATACAAAGCTTCAGTTTAATGAACTGATGCTGTTATTTCCTTAAAATTGCTCATCTATTTTTTTTGAACACCTGCCAATCACACATATCAATCATACTCATCTTCTAAGTGTCACAAAAATCAGTGGTAAAAATTATCTATGACTAAAATATAGCAGCCTCAACATGGTTATTTTATCCCTATAATCTAGCATATGGACATTCCACATTATAGAAATGAACTTTCTTGTGATTATTTTTATAGTTTTACTGCTTATCTTTAAAAATTGAGGTAAGTTACTCCTTGTGATGTCAGGTGTAGGTTTTAGAGTTTCTCAGAATACTTATTATTTAAATAAAATTAATTTAATGTAACATTTTTTATTTTTCATTACTGGCCAGGCATCAGTGTCGAGGCATTCTGAGGTATGTCTCCTGTGTGGTGCTGCCTCTGGGCTTTCCTGATGCTGGTGCCCTTAGGCCCACCTGTGTGCACCACACTGGTCTTGCACAGTTCACACATGACATTGTACAAATTCCAACAGGTTAATAGACTTTAATTAGTAGGTTTCTTAATCCCACAAATAATAGCCTTATTGACTATTAGAACTTGAAGTAGTAAGGTAAACTTGTCCTTCTGAACATTTCAAATTGCTTTCTTAAATTTACAAAATAAAATAATCTGGTTGAGGTCTGCTTCAGGTCTTCTAACATAAAGTGACATGCTCAGTTTGTATTTAACCCATGAAAACAAAGCCTAAAGTTCTCTCATACAAGTCTATAAAAAGGCACGTTCTATCGTTGGAACTACAGTTTACTACATGGAGGTTTTCTCAGTTGAAAGACAATCGAAACTGAATTCACCTGATTAACAAGAGCCAGTGTCTATTACAAGCTGATCAATGAATCAAATCATATCAACTTTTATTTTCAGAATTTCTGTTGAACTTAAAAATGGTAGAACTAAGGCCAATTTAAATAAGCCTGAGAAGGGATTTAATCTTTTATATTAGGTAATTCTGTAAAGTTTTTTCTTACAACCAATTTCACTAACATTTACTTCTTGAGTTTTAATTGTTGCACAGCAATGATTCCTGCTGTGTAGTGTATATAGAAGATGATATACTCTAGGAATTATAACTATATTCAATACAATAACAAAACTATGTAGTATTTCAAGAACTTTTCGCACATACGAGCACACTCATTTAGAGCCTCAACTTTCTAATCCCTGACATGTACTTTAAAAAAGGTTTTGTACTTGGCAGGTGATGACTTCCCCGCTCGGCACGTGGGGAAGTAACGGTGGGCCTCATTCATAGACCCTTAGCAAACCAACGCTCAACAACCTGCGGACCAGTTACTATTCCGGTAAGCCACCGAGACGCTCCCGGTCTCTACTGCCAGACTGGAAGCAAACGTGAACGGCGCAGGTAGCCTCGTGGCCTTACTTCTACCCTCGACTTTTTATCGTCAAGGCGTCCGGGAAGGCGAATCCGAGGCCATTCTGACGCGTTTTGTGATCGAAGGAAGGAGACCAGACATAAATAAAAGCGTGTCGGAGACCACCGTTATCTAACATTAGCCCGTCCAACGCGGGGCTTCACGAGCGGGGCTGGAATCCCGCAAGTGGGCTCTGCCTTCTTTCTACGAGTCCTCAGAGTGGACAAACGGGACACCTGCCGGGGACCATGTCAGAGGACACAGCCCAGCCCAGCCAAGCCAAGCCGAGGTGAGGCGGGGTTGGCGGGGCCGCGGGGCCCTCCGGACAGCACAGCCCGAGACAGCGGCGTCCACACCGCGCGCGCGCCCGTTCGCCGCCCTCGCCACCGGCCTCAGGCCGGTCCCACGTACCCGCCGCGGCGGTGCGCGTCCGGGAGGCGCCGGCCTCGGGGACCCCGTCACCGCGGGAGCCAAGTTCAGCGCGGATGGAGACCCGGCCACGCGCCTTCCTTGGCCAATAGGACTGACGTGTTACTCCAGGTTCGACGCGCTCGCGGCCACCGCGAACACGGAGACACTCAACCACTCTAGCCGCCACCCAGAGGCCCGAGGAGGCCGCAACTGAAGAACCGAGACCGTTCTCGCTGCTGAGGCCCCGCCCCTTCCGGCGCGCGCAGGCCCCGCCCTCGAGCGGCCGCGTGTGGTGTCGGGAGGGGCCGCCCCGTTCCCTTCTTTCCCGGGACCGGCTCACTCTGTCCCACTAAGGGGGAGGGCGGGTTTCTCCATGTCCCTACGGCCTCCTTGGTGGACAGTGGCGGCCATGAGCCTCCAGTGTCCAGAGTGAGCTTCGCTATCCTAGCGCCCATGGGGCCGCGGGCGGCAGCAGAGGCGCGGGGTGGCTCCGGCTGCCGGGCTGCTCCTCGGCACTCCCCCTCGGCGGCCGGAGTGGGATGGTGCGTCCCGCAGGGCGCGCGCGACTCCCGCGCTTCGGGCGCTTCGCGCGGGCGGGGGCGCAGAGGGCGGGGGAGCGGGCCCCGATTCGCAGGACCGGGCCGGGGCCGCGCGGGCCGGGCAGTTGGCGGAGCGAGCAGTGGCCCGGGTGGGGGGGTGGGCGGGGCCGGGAGCCTCCGCGGAGCCTTCCGGGCCTCCGCGACCATGTCGGAACAGGCTCCCGAAGTTCCAGAGGAGATGTTCAAGGAGGTCAAGTATTACGCGGTGGGCGACATCGACCCGCAGGTATCGCGCCGGCACCTGCCGCGACCTCCTTTCGTGCCCGTATCCGCGCTCTCGTTTCCGCTCCCGTCGCACGGGCGCGCGCTCGAGCACCAAACGTCTGGTCTGCGGCTGTCCCGCCGAGGGTCGCCGGCCTGGCTGTGCGGGGCAGGGGTGGCCAGGCGCGGGCTCTGGCCCGCCGGAGCGTCCGAGGGGGAGGGGCGGTGGGGGGAGGGGACCTGGCGGGACTAAGCCGACGGGAGGCACGTGGGGAGCCTGCGTCTCGGCCCGGAGCCCGGCCTGGCGCCGCGGGCCGCGGGCCGGTCACCACCCCCTGTCTGGCGGTCCCCAGTGTCAGCCGCCGCCTCGGACCCTACTCCCGCCCAGCTCGGTTCTGCAGCGGTATTCTTGCGGGGACGCATCCTAACCCTGCCCGGCTCCGGGTGTTTGAAGGGGGACGAGGAGACAGGTGGGAACGGGGGCCCCCAGCAGCACAGAGGAACACTGGCGGTCGGCGCTGCCAGGGCAGCTCGGGTCGTGTGCGGGGCTGTGCCGCGCCCCCTTCCCACAGCCTGTGCCCTTGCTGGAAGGCTGGCATTCCTATTCCTTGCTTTTCCTAGTTGGGTGGTATATATATATATATGGTAAATGTGAAAAATATGCTGGTGGAAAATACACCATCATCACGTTTAATTTTCTGTAGTTTGGGCTCACGGCAAGGGATATTGTGGGTTTCTCTAAGTAATACATTTATTTAATCATCGTTGTTGTCAGTCCATGATAGGAATGCATCTCAGTTGGGTGGCCTCTTCAGGTCGATCTTCTGTATACTTCTTGAAGTTTGACTATGCAGTTGTGTTGGCTTGGTTGTCACATTAGCGGTGCTCAGCTTGGAAGATGGAGATGCCCAGTGATCAGAACTTAAGCCTACAACGGTAGAGACTTATACAATACTTAGATAAACTTGGGTAGGGTGGAAGGCCGATTGATCTTGGCCTTCTGGAGGCTTGTATTAAATACTTGTTGTCTTAGTAATTAAACTTTCTTGCTTGGAATTTTTTTCCCCTGTAACTTTAGGGTGATAAGGGTTCTAGCTTTGAATTTGAAGAGTTAAAAGACCAGACTGATCAAAATGAGTGCCTGGAACGCTGGTAGCTTTCTCCAGTATTGATACCCTTCTACTTTTCCCATTTCATTTTAGAACTTTGGCTATTACAGGGGACTTGAACCACATGTTACTTAAAACCTGGAACAAGCTGAATTAGAACTGTATTTGCTCAACTATTAATCAAATCTAAATGCATAAGAAATGTCCTTGGCAAAACACTTTCATCTAAAACAGCATGTTTTCTGAAAAGTTTAATGCCTGAACATCTGATTATCTGAATCTTAGGGATTTGGAAAATTCACATGTGTTGAACATCTGGTATATTCCAGGCATTGGACTAGGTGCCAGGTATAATGTAAAGAAGACATGGTACCTATCCCTGAAGATCCCCTTTTAGTGGGAAACAGAGAACCTGCATGTTTCACAGTTGGAAGTGACAGGTGAGGGGCGGTGCCTGTGGCTCAAAGAGTAGGGCACCAGCCCCATATACTGGAGGTGGTGGGTTCAAACCCAGCCCCAGCCAAAAACTGAAAAAAAAAAAAAAAAAAAAAGAAATGACAGGTATGCAGTAAGAGCAGGTTTCCCTACTGGAAGCCTGGGAGACACCAGGGAAATGTCTGTAGATGCCATTTCTGATAGGCTTTGAGTTAAGCAGGCATTAAGAGGGAAAGATTAGGCCTGGCATGGTGGCTTGCACTCTGGGAGGCCGAGGTGGGTGGATCACCTGGGCTTACAAATTTGAGACCAGCCTGAGCCAGAGCAAGACCTCATCTCTAAAAATTAGCTGGGCATTGTGGTAGGTGCCTATAGTCCCAGGGTGAGGCAAGAGAATCAGTTGAGCCAAGAGTTTGAGGTTGCTGTGAGCTGTGACACCATGGTACTCTACTGGGGGCAACAAAGTGAAACTCGGTCTCAAAAAAAAAAAAATAGTGAAGGATTATTGTCTTCGTGTGGAATGTGTGTGCCAAGGAGTGAAGACACTAATATTCTGGGGCTGCATCAGTGTTATGACTGGTCTGGAGCAGAGTGACATGAGATAATCTGTTGAGAGCGCCATTCAGCAGCACGGCAACTGGTTGTTTTGGCTGTCAAAGTTGGTAAGATGCTGAAGTGTTCTCAGTAGTATTGATGGAAGGTGCTGCCTGCAGGGAACTGAAGAGGGACTAGGAAGTGAAGACAGGTAACTGGTCATTGGAAGGAACCAGAGAAAGGTGCCTGAGGAAGAGAGGACAGGGGCTGAGTGTGTCATGTGCAGGGTTGCCCTAGGATGTGGTAGACTTGATGGGTGGAGGGAATGTAGCTGTGGACAGGAGGGAATGGAATCTCAGGCTCATAGGAAAGTCTGGAGGGTCTGACTGCACACTGAGGGCAGGAGAAAGGGGCATCTTTTTTCTGTTAGACATGTCACATAGATGTGAGAAGCTAAAGCTGCTAGGAGGTCAAGAGAAGAGTGAAAGGGAGAGTGGCTCCTGGCCAGCAACCCTTGCTTTTCTTTCTTTCTTTCTCTCTCTTTTTATTTTTTTAAATAAGAGACTCATTATGTTGCCCTTGGTAGAGTGCTCTGGCATCACAGCTCACAGCAACCTCGAACTCTTGGTCTTAAGTGATTCTCTTCCCTCAGCCTCCCAAGTAGCTGGGACTACAGGGGCCTGCCACAACGCCTGGCTAATTTTTTGTTGTAGTTGTCATTGTTGTTTAGCAGGCCCTGGCCAGATTCGAACCCATCAGCCCCGGTGCATTTGGTTGGTACCCTAACCACTGAGCAACGAGTTGCCAAACTGCAACCATTGTTTTTTCATTTATTAAACAAGTTTTAGCTCTAGTTCATGTCTAGAAGGATCAGTAAAATATTCTAAAAATGTTGTCCCGCTTGTGGGTCATTTCAGCTATGTGGACACAATATTGCTGTCACCTTGCTCACCTTCTCCAGCCATTGACTGTTCCTGGCTTCCCTCGACAATGCTTTGCTTTGACACTGCCAGCCCCCAATCCCACACCTGCCTTGGAACCTTCTATTGCTGGTCATTAGCCCTAGTCCTACACTCAGAGGATCTCATCCCTGTCACAGCTTTAGCCCCTCCTATCTAGGGGATATGCTGGTGACTTTCTATCAGGAGAGACCCCCGTCCTCTTCTGATAGAACTGGATGCCTCTTGCTGGGTACTATATGCGCCCCAGAAAGCAGTGTGCTCCAAACTAAAGCATGATCTTGCCTCCTTCCCCTCTGTCTTCACTCTCCTCAGTGAGCGGTGCTCCTGCTCCCCCACCCCAGCGTTTCTGTCTTTTCTCTCCTACTTACCCTGCTCCTGTCACAAGTGCTGCTTCTCTCTGTCCTTGGTGACAGTGTCCAGCTTCAGTCACCTGCCTCTTTCACCTGGATTGTTGGAGTTGTTTCTTCCCTGGCCTGTCTATACTCACCTAGTCAACTAAATTCCTTCTTCCCGTGCTGATAGTCATCTTTCCATGAAATCTGATTGTGCTCTTTGCTCATGTGAAATACCTCAGTGCTCTGGAGAGATACCTGAGAACTAATGCAAACTTTTTTGCATAGTATAGAAGGTGGTTCACAGTGTGATCCCTGCTCACCTTCCTGGTGCCTGGGACACTGCTCCCTCCACCCACTGTGTGTACTTTTGCCTCCTTGACACCTGTAAATTCTAACGATTGTGCTCATGGGTCTGCTCTCCCAGAAACTTTCCCTATTGTGGCAGCATTATCCATCTCTGTGCCTCTAAGTTGGAAGCCCAGGAGTGACATGTGGGCGGTCAATTCAGGAATTACTGTGCTGTGTCCTTGTCTGTCCAGTCTGTCTGTCTAAAGGACAGATAATGTCGAGAGCCTGGCTCTCTGTAGCCTCCGTACTTGGCCAACAAATCAAGATTTGCTGCTTTTTATTATCCCCAGCTTTTTTTGCTGGTGCATTATTCAGAGTAAAAGGAAAGGCTGGTTAATTTTATATGGGAATAAGGTATATTTCTATTAAAAATATTTGTTATTCCCAATAATTATTTATATAAATCAAGAATGCAATTCAGTATTTTTTATTTTAGTATTTATGGGTTGTTCTGTTTGTTTTTAGGTTATCCAGCTTCTGAAAGCTGGGAAAGCTAAAGAAGTGTCCTACAATGCGCTGGCCTCACACATCATTTCAGAGGACGGGGACAACCCGGAGGTTGGCGAAGCCAGGGAAGTCTTTGACTTACCTGTTGTAAAGGTCAGTAGTAAGTACAATTAGTTTTGTGTCTTTTCTCTATCCTCCTCTTCTCAGGGTCTCTGCAGAAGTACTGCTTTAGGTGGCAAGTTGCCAGATGAATAAAGACCTTTCACATCTCAATCACTTACCTTAGCTTCAGGCCCGTTCAGTTAAATCAAGATACAGCAGGTTTCCATATGCATTAGAAGTAATTTGAGGTCATTTTTTACACCTATAAGCAGATCTCTTGTAATCACTGCCTGGAGGCTTTGTAAGCCCAGGACACCTGCCTGGGAAGTAGACCTGTTACCTTGAGTCAGATTGGTGTTTGATTCCAAAAGCAGGCTAAGGCCTGTCCAGAGCTAACTCCTAAGACAGGGTTATTTTCCTTCCCCTCTGTGACAAGTGGTCCTCATTTTCAGTTAGACCAGCCAAAGGGCATCCTGTTCTCTTAATTATGCCATTTACTTTCTGACAGGGCTCACAATACTGTCACACTGTCCACCTGCTGTCTGTCTGGACTGTTATCCACCTTGACCCGTGGGTAGTTTATTGTAGAAAGCCGGGGCTTCTGCTAGTGGGCAAATTGTGCAGATTGAGGTGCTGCTCTGTTGCAGCTGATAAGTGAAGTGACTGGTGTTAAATGCATGCTTTTAAAATTTGTTAATTTTATAATTCTGATCTTTTAATTCTATTTCAATTATTTTCTACTATATATTTAAAAATAGTTCTATACCATTACCATTTTTTCTTTCTTCTTCAATTCTTTTGCCTTGAAAAAAAAAAGGGTATGAAAGTTTTATAATTTAATAACAACAGTGTTAGGAATTAAGAAAGCTTTCCAGCTGGGTACAGTGACACATACCTGTAGTTCCAGCTACTTGGGAAGCTGTGGAGGGACAATTGCTCAAGTTAGGAGTTTGAGGCTGCAGCTTGCTGTGGTCACAATCAGTGAGTAGCTACTGAACAACCAGATCCTATCTCTAAAGTAAGGGGAAAAAAAGAATGAGAGAGAAATATTGACTACTAAGTCAAATTGGGAAGCAGAGAAGCTGTCTGGCTACTGAGAAGTGGTAGCCTCACTAGTATTCAGACTTGAATTTTGAAATTAAACCTGAAAGTAGATGTCATAAGAGAGGGTTTTATAAACCAAGCTCTCAGGAGACTGCTGAGAAAGTCAGAGTGACTTCTGGTGCAGCAGTGGACGTGCCTACCCTGTGCCTGCACTCCATTTCTTGACTGGCAGCCTGGACTGTGCGCAGGTCATCTGTGAAGCCTGGTTACCCTCAGGTTTCCTGCTATGCAGCTGATGTCATTTTGGATTCCTTGCCACCAGGACAGGGCTGTGAGCCAGGGTCTCTCTTCCTCGGACGAGGTTTTGGCCTTGGTTTGCTTCCATCCTTCTTGCCAGAGGGCCTGTATCTTAATCCCTTTCCCTTCCTGCACCTTCTTCCACATAGAGGATGGTTTGGACGTATTGTCTTATTAGAGTGGCTCTGGATATCTTAAGCGGATTTTATAGTGAAAGAATAACTTCTTTTTTGGGGGGAGGTACAGAGTCTCACTTTGTTTTCCCTTGGTAAGAGTGCCACCCTTAGGCCGTGAGGTTGTCCTCACAACTCTCAACAACCCCAAACCTCAAACTTGTGGGCTCAAGTGATTCTCTTGCCTCAGCTTCCCAAGTAGCTGGGACTATAGGCACCAACCATAATGCCCGACTGTTTTTAAGAGATGGGTCTCCAACTCCTGAGCTCAAGTGATCTACCCACCTCAGCCTCCCAGAGTGCTTGGATTATAGGTATGAGCCACTGCAACAGGCCTGAAAGAATGATTTTTTTTTTTTGAGACATAATCTCAAGCTATTGCCCTGGGTGGAGTGCTGTGGCATCATAGCTCACAACAACCTTGAATGCTTGGGCTCAAGCAATCCTCTGGCCTCAGATTTTCTATTCTTAGTACAGACAGGGCCTTGCTTTTGTTCAGGCTGGTCTCGAACTTGTGAGCTCAAGCAGTCCACCTACCTCAGCACATTTTTGGAGCCTAGGCCATTGTTGCCTGACTAGCTATAGTAGTAGTTATTACCCCCTTTTATAATAAATAATTTGTAGTACCCTGAAGTGATTTCAGATAAAGTGTATATATAATATAAATCGCCCAAGCTGAAATGCAAATGAGAAATAAAAGGAAAGTGCATAATAAAAAGTAGAACCTCTGTGAGTTGACCACCCAAGGGACTGTGACAGACTGGTCGACTTATGGAGGTGGTCAACATAAGGAACAGACCTGCTGTGCTGAGAGAGAGATATATAAAATATATATACGATATATACATGTGGTACATGTCTGGCCTGTGAAATTAGATTGTCTAATTAGGTAGTCAGTGTAGGGAGGCATCAGCTATTCCATATTTCAATATGTAAATACTCGGGTACATCAGCATTAGAGGGTGGGGTGGAGTTTCAAGTGCTGTGTGTGTAGAGCCTCTGAACGCAGTGGCTACAGAAGTGCAGGTTGGTCCTCCACAGTGGAGTTGCCATACGTGAGGTGCCATTTTAGAATGGTGACCATTCGTTGGTAAAGTTCTGAGCTAAACAAAGCAGTCTTCTTACATTTTACACGGTACTTGTATTCTTGGTAAACTGGGGATATAATAAGAGTGCATAAAAATACTCATTGCTTGTACAATTAGCAGTTGGCTTCTGCCGCTGTCTCCACTTTGCCTATTCAATTTTCTGCATCCGAATCCCACTTCTTCCCCCCTGTGGATATAGTACTTTAAACAAATGCCAAGCATAACTCATCTGTACTTAGCTTAGCATTCCAGCCAGCTGGTAATTTGTGGCAATATCTATTGTCCAGCAACTGTTGTATTATATTTTAGAATAACAGCTTCCCTAGACTGGGCGAAGTGGCTCATGCCTGTAATCCCAGCACTTGGGAGGCTGAGGTGGGTGGATTGAGCTCACAGGTTTGAGACCAGCCTGAACCAGAACAAGACCCCATCTCTAAAAAATAGCCAGGCGTTGTGGCAGGTGCCTATAGTCGCAGATACTTGGGAGGCTGAGGCAAGAGGATAACTTTAACCCAAGAGCTTGAGGTTGCTATGAGCTAAGATGCCATAGTACTGAGGGTAACCAAGTGAGATTCTGTCTCAAAAAAAAAAAAAAAAAAGAATAACAGCTTCCCAGAATGTAGCATTTTCACTACCTTAGAGTGAACAGAAACCGTTGGATCCTGGTCGCAGGTCCTCATATTCTTAGTCTTACCTACGTTGGATCCTAGTTGAGTTTGTATTCAGCTGCTGAAGAGATCTATCCTTTGCTTTACCTTGATATCAAATTTTGCAGAGCATTAAAAAAAATATAAGGCATTCTTATGCATAGTGAGACTTTATCCATCATTTACATATTTTAAAAATGTCTAAAACTTCTTTAGACCATGATAACTTTTTTTTTGAGAGGGAGTCTCACTCTGTCATACTGAATAGAGTGCCATGGTGTCATCACAGTTCACAGCAACCTCAAACTCTTAGGCATAGGTGATCCTCGTGCCTCAGCTTCCTGAATAGCTGGGCTTACAGGTGCCCATACAACACCCAGCTAGTTTTTCTGTTTTCCTTGGAGATGGGGTCTTGCTCTTGCTCAAACTGGTCTCAACTCCTGAGCCCCCATGATCACCTGCCCTGGCCTCCCAGAGTGCTGGGATTATAGGTGTGAGCCACTTTGCCTGGCCTTAAGTAATATTTTTAATAGAGATAATTTTCTCAGCCCAGTCTTAGAAACGCTAATTTAGCTGACATGTAGTGGGATTATTTTTGTATGTTCTTCTTTGTCTTTAGGATAAATAGTTCCTATTACTCTGCTTTTGTAGTTCTCCATCTCTGCTTTATATTGTGGTTTGCTTCTTTTATTTTTCCTTTTTTAATATCACACCTTTGCTTACCTTGATTGTGGCCGAGTTGCTAACTTTGCATATTTTATCTAGACTTGTCTGAGTGAGGGCCCCAGGTTAATTCTGCTGGTTGAACAGGACTTTATGTTAGCTACACCAGGAGTCTTTAAACTGGGGTAGCTCACCCCTAGCCCCCGGGGAAGACTGCAGGTATATGCTGTGTGGAATGATGGAGGGGGCACTTCCAGATTAGTGCTTCCTCAAGCTGTCTGAGAATGTGCTTGTGTCACGGTGCCCCTTTCCACTTCACACAGGATTTGTAACATCGCCCGTCTTAATCTAACAGTGCATCGGGCGGGGCTCTGAAAGTCCTGGACACCAGACAGAAGGACAGTGAGAAATGTTGGCTTTAGGGCATCCTCACTTAGGGCTCTATCCTGGACCTCTGGGCCCTGAGAGCCTTCTGAGTGTCATGTTGAGGATAATGCTTGGCCCACAGGAAGATGTTCTGTGTTCAGGAGACTCAAAGCCAGTAGTGTTCCTGACACTGGCTCAGTCCTTCAAGTTAGCTGGAATTTCCCAGGACCATTGAAAAATGTGGAGATTTTTTTTGGATAAAGTGCATGGGTAGAAACAATAAGTGTTTTCTTTCAGATTTGGTGCAGCTTATTCAATAAGTTAGTTAAAACTTTTTGGTGAAATGATCAAATCATCATGAAATAATTACCCCAAGTCCAACCATTCTTTATTTTATAAAATAATATGCCTATCTCAGAAAATATGCTGATTTTAAATGAGTTGAAAAATTGTAGATCTTACCTACAAAATGATAAGGGGGCCACTTCTTTGTCTGAAATTCATTTAAGGTGCATGTGACAAAGATAATTTGATGGTCATTAGCTTGGAATATGAGGTGCAGGGCAGAAGCTGCATTTCTCTTTTTCACTGTTGCACCCTCAGCACCTTGCTCATCTCTGCACAAAGGAGATTCACCATAAATATTTGATGACTGAATCGATGGATGGGTAATAAGTATATATATATATACACACACATACACACACACATACATATGTATTTTTTTTTTCAGTTGGCTGAAGTTTCTGGAAGTCACCTGGCTCCCCGACTATTGTAATGTGGGCATTACTATATTTTTTTGATATTAATTTGTTAAGTAGAGCTGTCAGGACAATGATTGCTGTAATTTTAAAAGTTAAATATAGAAAAAGATAATTTTTCAAAAATGTGACAATCAAATAGAAAGTAATCTTTTATAATGAGTTAGAGTTTGAGAATTTATAAAAATTTACCAGATAGAAATAATTTTTATGGTTTACAAACATTGTATCTACTTGGCTTCACTAAAAAAAAAGACACAACAGCATGAGTTGAGACAGGGTTGAACTCAGGGCTCGAGAAAGGGCTGGAGGAGGGCTGACCACACCCGGGCGAGGGATGGCAGGGTGGGTGGCAGTCCCCTGTCCCTCTGGCTCTGAGGCAAACAGTACTAGTGTGAAAACCTGGAACTTAAATGTCCGTGTGTAATAATTTTTTAAAAACATGGTAGTGCTTCATTTTATATTTGAGTTTTTCGCCGTGGGCATTAATAATCTTTTCTTCTGTGTGAATACTCATACTTGTCATCTGGATGTTTTCAGAGTGGTTGTAACAGAGACTTTTAATCTCTAAGAGCAACACTAGTAAAGCAATAACACTTTGATTATACTCGAAACAGTTTTTCACTGAGGTGACCTTCTCTTTTTCAGCCTTCTTGGGTGCTGCTGTCCGTCCAGTGTGGAGCTCTTCTGCCGTATCCTTTTGTTGAGGGCCGGGAGGAGAGAGGCTGACTCTGGGTTTAAAATGGTGATGACACTTACTGAATGAAGGGTGGCGTCCTTGGGTAGGACCAGTCGTTTTGTCTGCATTCTCTACCCTCCTGTTCTCTGTCCCTCCCCACGTTTCACGTACCCAATCGTGTAAAAGAGGGGGCCAGCTATGAGAAGTAGCTCTAGGGAGCTGGAGGCCCAAGTTCTAGTTCTCTTCAGCTTCTGTGGTGCTAGCTAAACAAAAATGTTTCTGAAACTCCAATTGTGTGTGAACCAAAGCATGAACTATTTTCTTTTTTTTAATGGAGACAGAGTCTCACTTTGTTGCCCTTGATAGAGTGCTGTGGCATCACAGCTCATAGCAACCTCAAACTCTTGGGCTTAAGGGATTCTCTGGCCTCAGCCCCCCAAGTAGCAGGGACTATAGGTGCCCACTACAATGCCCAGCTATTTTTAGAGTTGAGGTCTCACTCTGGCTTCAGCTGGTCTCAAACCTGTGAGGTCAGGCAGTGCCCGCCACAGAGCCTGGCTATTTTTTGTATTGTTGTTACAGTTGTCATTGTTGTTTAGCTGGCCCATACTGGGTTTGACCCTGCCAGCCTTGGTGTATGTGGTGGGCGCCCTAACCACAGAGCTACAGGTGCCGCCCAAGAAACAGGATTTTAGAAATACATTACGGAGGCTGCTCAGCTCCTCTGTGCCACCCGCCTCTCCCCCTCCAGTCTGCCCTGCACTCTTCCTACTCCAGTCTACCCTGCACTCTCTTTGGCCTTCCTAAGTCTGTTTTCCTAAGTGGACTGAGTGGGAAGAAGGGAGGGTGGGCAAGGGTTATGTCTATTAGTGAAATATGGGTTGCACTAATCTTATTTCATTGTAATCTTAATAACTATAAAACAGAGTAAGTGGTTTTTCTCCAGAGTCGTGTCAGATCTTTTTTGGAATCACTGCCTGCCTTTCTCAGGTAAGCATGGTTGCAGCTCGTCTCGTGGTGTGTACATGTGCACAGGTGTACGTGTTCCTGATAGGATTAGATTGATGACCCGTTTGTTGAACATCTGAGAGAAGCTGTTTACTCAATTGTATGTGTAGTATGAACTATGACACACTTAAATGTATTTAAATATTCACCGTTACTTTTAAGATTTAAAGCTTTTGATGGGTGAAAATGGTTTTTCTAATTTAAAAAAATTAGAAAGATTTAAAAATTGAATATGAAAACATATTAAAAATGATGACAAGGAAAATTCAGTCAGAAGTACAAGCAGAGACTTGTCCTAATGAGTAAAGGGCTCCTGTGGAACAGTAAGAAAACACAAGGCCTTGGGCAGTGCCTGTGGCTCAAAGGAGTAGGGTGCCAGCCCCATATACTGGAGGTGGCGGGTTCAAACCTGGCCCAGGCCAAAAACAGCAAAAAGAAAACAAAACAACACACAAGGGCCTTGCAGATGAAGCAGAGGGTACAGTGACAGCTGGGAGAGGGGTCCCAGCAGTGATCAGCGTGCAAGGTTGGTGCACTTTGCACATACGTGAACTTTTTTTTTCTTTTTTTGAGGCAGAGTCTCAAGCTGTCACCCTGGGTAGAGTGCTGTGGCATCACAGTTCACAGCAACCTCCAACTCTTGGATTCAAGTGATCCTCTTGCCTCAGGTTTTCTATTTTTAGTAGAGACGAGGTCTCGCTCTTGCTCAGGCTGGTTTCAAACTCTTGAACTCAAGCAATCCACCTGCCTCGGCCTGCTGGGATCACAGGCGTGAGCCACCATGCCCAGCCCCCATTGCCATTTTAATTGTAGTGGGCAGGAAATTGAGACCCCTATCTTCAGTGTTGATGGGGATGCTGAAGACAGTCTCTTCCTCATTGCTGGCAGGGCTGTGAATCAGTGCAGCAGTTTTCTACAAAAGGTTATCATCATCAAGCGTCTTCAAGTACTCATCCCATTTTTTCCTACACTTGTCTCGTATATACAAATTTATCCTGAGTTGACAGAAGTAAGGACAGATCAGTGCATAAAGATGTTCACAGCATTATTTACAAGATGATAAAATTAGAAACAATTAGATTACTCACTATTTGTAGGTATTTACAAAACCTATATATACTTGTGCAGTAGTCTGGCTACATAGCTTTTTTTTTTTTAAATACAGTTTTTGTCCTGTCCCAGGTTTGAACCCGCTACCTCCGGTATATGGGGCCAGCGCCCTACTTCTTTTAGCCATATGTGCCGCCCAGTTTTTTCTTTTCTCTGAGACAGAGTCTCACTGTGTCACCCTCGGTAGAGTGCCGTAGCATCCAGCTCACAGCAACCTCAAACTCTTGGGATCAAGTGATTCTCTTGCCTCAGCCTCCTAAGAAGCTGGGACTACAGGCACCTGCCACAGTGCTCGGCTAGTTTTTGTTGCAGTTGTCATTGTTGTTTAGCTGGCCTGGGCTCGGTTCAAACCCACTACCTTCGGTGTATGTGGCTGGCACCGTAACCACTGTGCTACAGGCACCGAGCCCTACATAGCTATTTTTGAATTATGTTTTATGAAAATTGGTAAAGACTTGGGAAATGTTTTAAGTGAAAAAAACCAATATATGATACAGGTATTTACGATAGTATATCAACCAAATAAAATATATAAGAAATATCTGTAAGAAAGAACTAAAAGTTAACATCGGCTAATTCTAGGTGAGGAGAGAAGTGGATCTGCAGTCTTTTTTTTAATTATTATTGTATTTTGTTCTAGCCCCCAGCTAAGAACCTAACGTTATAATAAAAACTCTTATTAAAAATCAAATTGGCATTATTCATTTTCAGTGACATGGAATATTTGTTTACAATTGTGGTGCTTTGACAGGAAACCCTGCACTGAGCAGTGTCTCCGGCCTCCTCCCAGGCTGCTGTTTTGGTGCTTATAGGTGATGCTTTTGAGGAAGTATTTAATTTTCCTTCTCTATGCAAGCCTTTGACATATTAGGTGAAATGGAAAGGAAATTGATTATAACCTCACTTTTCCTTACTCCTTTGTGAGAGGGAATTAGGGAATGAGGTGGCTTTGCATTGTTAGGTGGTTGGCCAGAGTCAACTGTTCATACAGAGGGCACTGCCAGTCTGGGTTTTACCTCCTTTGTCTAAGCCGTAAGTGAATTAGTTTATCTGTAGCTTCAGTGTTTTTGTTTCTGTCTGTTACAAATTCTGGAAGTTCTTTAAACTCTCCTCTTTTTGTTTTTATTCTATCAATTTGATGAAGAGCCTTAAAAGCAAAATTGGCTCTTTTTTTCCCCTTTAATGGGAATTTTGTTGATATTTGTATTTTGCAACTTTTTTTCATATCTGTTATAAGTGTATATTTACATGAGTGATCTTTAAAGTTGGTTATAATGAAAACTTTAATTCTGGGTGCCATGGTTACATGTAATTTTTATTGTTTTCTTTATACTTCTCTGTATGTTCCAAATTTACAGTCAACATATCAGAACTAAGTTTTTAAAACATTTTATTATTACTTAGGCATAAACACAGTGTACTTTGGGTAATATGTGAATTTGTCATTTAATTATTTGTATTGATTGGATTTCTGGGTTTCAGAGACTCAGAGCCCGTTATCCAGAAAAGATTTAAATTGAATGAAACAGGAAGAAGGGCTGGGCTGAGCTGGAGGCAGAGGCAGGGAGTCTTGTGGGCATTTTTCAGAGATTGAGGTCACAGTGATGTGGGATTTAGCACACTTGATGAAATAAGAAAATCAAAAGTGTGTGAGTATAAGGTGATTACAGTGTTTTAAATTATGTAATTAGATATTGTTAAATCTAAAGTATGAATTTAGCACCAGAGAATACTACTAGTCTTGCAAAGAAAGAACTAATAATTATATTGACAGAGGTTGTAATATTTGTAAGTGATTGTTATGTAATACACATTGTAAATGAGGCATTGTGCCTGACAGGTATGACAGTGTGCTGCCAGGGCACAGGCATGACTGCGGGTCCAGGAGGAAGGGCTCCAGTCTGGGTAGAAGGGGAGGAAAGCCTAGCTGGAGGATGTCCCATCTGCATGGACCTGAAGGAGCGGGCGGGGGGCTTACCACTTGACCACGAAGGAAGGCCAAGTCAGGAGTGCACAAGGGGCCAGTCACTGGACACTGAGTTAGAGCCAAGGCTGTTTATCTGCGTGTGAAGAGGGAGGAGAGGCGGGTAGACGTGAGAGAAAGCCTTGACACCGCGGCCTGTCGGTTTGGACCCGGTAGGTAGGGTAGGCAGCAGGATGTTTCTTCACTCTTTTGCTTATATATTTAATTTTGGATTATAAATGTTTACATCAGGAAATGTGGGAAAGAGAGAAAAGCAAACAAGATGAAACTCAGTTGGGGTGGTTGCAGGTAAAACTGGTCTGTGAGCTCCAAGAGGGACGCAGGGCAGGGAAGACTGGAGTTTCGACAGGTGGAGACCCAGGTCCAAGATGGCAGGAGGAAGGTAGATCCCAACAGCACACGGGACCCCGCCTATCGCGGTGCCTTGGGACACTGTGGGACCTCTCCCTATGTCAAGCCCACGGTGGGTGCCTTCCCGCCAGCACCAGGAGTGAGAGATGACAGCGTGTTCAGATGCGGAGTTCCCATGAAGTGGGAGCATTGCTGGTGGAGGTGGAGTGTGCAGGGAAGTCTGTGAGGGAAGAAGGTGGTGCTGCTGGTTTGAAACACATAGTCAGGGCTGTCGAGTTGTCCAAGCACAGGCACGTGGGGGTACTGTGGCATGGAGGACAGTGCGCAGCATCGTGGAGAGGTGCAGATAACTGGGAATGCATGCAGCATTGGGTGACAGACATGCTGAGCTTTGGGGACAAGAAAAAGAGCTCGAGAATACTAATAAATAGACAGATATTCGAGGAGTAGAATATTATGTTTAGAAACCAAGAAAAGGGCAGCGCCTGTGGCTCAGTGGGTAGGACACCAGCCCAATATACCAAGGGTGGCAGGTTCAAACCCGGCCCCACCCAGACTGCAACAAAAACTAGCCGGGTGTTGTGGTGGGTGCATGTAGTCCCAACTACTTGGGAGGCTGAGGCAAGAGAATTGCCTAAGCCCAGGAGCTGGAGGTTGCTGTGAGCTGTGACGGCGACAAAGGCTTTGTTTCTAAAAAAAAAAAAAAGAAATGAAGAATAAAGTTGGACTCAATCATTTTTAGTTTTTATTGTGGGAAGAAGTAATGTTCCAGATAAAGATTTAGAGCACAGATTGGCAGGAGGTAGCTGTATGCATTTGCCTGTGTTCTCTCAGTCCTGATCTGTGACCGGGGAGGAAAAGGGCGTCAGAAAAGTGATAGAGCCGCATTGACTAGTCGGTGAGGGCCACAAGCTTCAGGGTCTGAGGACGCAGGTGTGGGATGGAGACGGTGTCCCAGGGAGGAGCAGGTGAGCAGCTGTCAGAGCACTTGAGTGTCGAGATTGTCAGTGGGAGAATGTCACTTGATTGTGTGGTCTGGGCAGGGCCTGCTGCTCACCCTCCTCCAGATGAGAGGCTGAATTTTATAGAGGTGCTAACTGGGTCTGGTGAGCAAAAAGATGAATTTATTAGTAAGCTCTTTGATAGTATTTTATATCCTTTTAGCAAATTTGTTAGGTAAAACAATCAACAGAAAATCAGCTTGGTCTCTGCGGGTCTTTGCCCTTACTGTCACAGTCCATCACTTCCCCAGTGTGTGATGGGTTCATAGAAGACGCGTTTTCAGTTGAGAAAGATTGTTCACATAAGGTTGGGGAGGCTGTGATAATAGCTCATGTGAGGAAATCCTGGAAATTTTAGTTTAAAAGTACATCGGGAGCTCTAATACTCTGGTTGCTAAAACATATTAACTTGTTCTTAAGGTGTGCTAATAAACAAATGTACAGCGTCCATCTGAGGGGCGCTGGGTCAGCATGTCTTGACGAGTCCTTGCTCTGTGACAGGAAGAGTACAAAGCAATTCCCATGTGATTTCTCCCTCAGTAAACATGCAGTGTTGCAGGGGACACACATGCAAATAAACATGGTCTATTGTAAAATGTGCAGAAACCAGTGGGTACTAGGTATAGAAACACAGGCGGGAGTGGTCACGATGGTTTGTCTCCGCACACACACGCAGACGCACACACAGGCAGGGCCCCACCTCTAAAAAGAACTGTTTGCTTGGTTCTCAGTGACCTTCTGTCTTTTCCCCGTCAGGGTGTTGATACAAGCTGGAGCTCTTTGTTGGAGTCTTCCAGAGCTCTCCCAGGGAGAGGTAGGGAAGGGAGCTTGTCCGGCAGAAGTTGGGAAGCACACAGATCATCTGCCTTCTTCTGACGCGGTATTGATGAGGCTGGGCCCTGTTGTAATGTGCGGGGTAGGTTTCGGGGACTAGGTCAGGAGTCTGATGGAGAGCCTGGCCCGGTTGTAATTTATATCCAGAAGACTAAAAATGAAAGTCCTTTCCATCCTATATCTCAATCAACAGTATTTCTTGACTGCCTACCCATGTGCCTTGCACTGTACTAGGTACTGTGAAAGATATCAAAGAAGTTTTAGGCAGAATTTTTATGGAAGATTCTAACCTTTAATAAGCAGCGTTAGAGTTCATGACCAAGATTGAGCAGGGAGAATGGAGGAGTGTCTCCCAGGGCTGAGGGAGGGGTATTCCTGATTGGTTTATTCCTGGGTCACAGAGACGAAAAATTCTAGTGCCCTCTTCCTAGTTGCTTTCAAGTATAGCCGGGGAAAGACAGCTGAGCAGGTGCAGAGGATGAGAGGTGCTTAGGCTTTTGTCCAGCTTGCTTGTGGGGTGCATTGGCAGTGAATTGGAGTGAGCAAGTCCTGGGCACAGGGAAGCAGAACTGTCTGAGGAATGTCATTATATATGGCTGGGGCTCAGGGGTTCAAGGTGCATGTGGGGTGGCACTGATGGAGAGGAGGTGGTCGGGAGCCAGACACATAGGGAGCCTGGACACTATGTGGGGAATTTTGCATTTTAGCCTGACAGGCATTGAGGAGACAATCAGAGCTTTATTAGCTAACTAGATAGGATTAGTATTTTAGAAAAATGGCTTTTAAAAAAGAAAAGCACATTTCCCCAATTATAAAATTAATGATTTTGAAAATTTGGAAAATACAGAAAAGTATAAAAATGAAAATAAACTCCCCATCATCTTATCACCACTAAATAACTTGTTAACAGTTTGGTGTGGAAAGAGCATTCTTAATTATTAATTGTGCTGATGGAGATTCATTAAATGAGCTGATATGAATGTTCAGAGTCATTTAAATCAAACTTAGATCAGTGAAGAGTCTGGGCCGCGGGAGTTTCCCGAAGTTGACACAAGCTGGTGTGGAGACAGGCCTCCTGCCCCTCCCTGCCTGATGTTCTTTCCACAGCAACACGCTGCCCCCCGTGGAGGCCTGCACCTGTGACCAGGCCGGGCAGGATAGGTGACTCAACTCACTGCAGTCAGGAGAAGAAAGTACTACCTGATATGGAGCCAAATCTTGGTAACAAAGACATATCAAGGTTGTTTTCTAATGTCATTCTGAATAGAGATTATATTATGAATCACAGGATTAATCTGTATTACCATGTAATAAATCTCAACTCTCCACATGCTGCAGGATATAACTGTCTTTGTGAAAACCTAAAATAAAAACAAGCTGGTCTAGTCTCCTGAAATGTGGCATTGACGTACTAAATTAAAGACATATAAAATAATGATTTGAAGAGTGATTTTAGAAAGTTAACATGTTCTTGTTAATATTTATAGAGTATGGAATACAAAATAATTTCTAGAAATATTTATAAAAGAGTAGATGAATATTAGATTATTGGCAAACTGCATAATGGCAAGAAGAAATTAACATGCTACTTTTCAGTACTTTTAAAAAATGAACTTGAGACAAAATTCAGGTTTCAACAAACATAATCCTCAATATACAATAAACTTACCTAGAAAAAAATCACTTGGTTAAATGATTATCTTAGCATTAATGCTCATATCTTTATTTTTCTTAAATGTTTCTTTTGCCTTTCAGACTCTAAAATTTATTTTTTTTGGAAATTGTTTGTTTCTTCCTCTAAGTAGTAACTCCCTGAAAGAAGCAGGCTAGATCGTGGGTGGACTTAGACCTGGGTTTAGACAGCCTGGGTTTTAAAGGCCAGCTTTTCTGATGCTTAGTTATAATTTGGTTGTTTCCTTAGTATTAAAGTGGGGCTAACGAATCCTATTTCAAGTGGCGGCTGTCAGGAGTAGGAGTGTACAGAAGGCACTTGGCACAGTTCCTGGCACATAGTAGGCAGGCAATAAATGGCAGCTGTTTTCACTGTTACAGCGAAAGCCTGTTTCACAGCATCCGCCATCGCACTGGAGTCCTCCGCCCTCCACCTCACCATGCGCAAGCATAGGGTCCTCCTTTCATGCTTGTCGTCTTGTCTCATGTGTGAAGTAATATTTTACGTTTTTCGCTGGGGTTACAACCACTGTATTTTTTAATCTTTATTTTGTCCATTTCATAATTAGTATCTGTTATCCATTAGCATTAAGGAGTTCCTTAAATATGGTTTTGATATTGCTGTTGTATTTAAACATTTTCAGAAATGAAACAAATGGAAGTTGGAATGGTGTGTTAGGTCTTTCTTTCTTTCTTTCTTTTTCTTTTTTCTTTTTTGTGCTTCTTATAGACCGAAGTGATCCTCCATTCAGTTTTTTGGAATGTGGATGTGAGTTTTTTTGTATTCATTTGGTGTTAAGGCAAAAATAAGTGACTTATATGTAAAACCTATAATTATGAGAAGGAAGTTTTTATTATAATCCAATAGTAAAAGCTTCTCTGTTTTTCCCACTAATATTCCTAGGTTAATTTAATAAAGAAGCAAAGTAGATAAAGTGAAATTGCTGTGCTGTCACGCTGTGTTCTAATAGTAAAGTATGACTGTGAGCAAGCACAGATTACAATGTGATAAAGGCCTCCCTTCACTTTCTGCCAGGTGACGTCGGAAGACAGAAGTGCCCTGTGGGCTTTGGTTACATTCTATGGGGGAGACTGTCAGCTGACCCTCAATAAGAAATGCACACACTTGATTGTTCCAGAGCCAAAGGGGGTAAGCATTTCATGTGCATTCTTCTGTTCATATGTCATGGAGGTATTTTCAGAAATCAGATGTTTTTTATCGAGCTTCTTTTAAATTAATTATTAGATTCCATTTACAAAAGCTGATTGTATTGGTTTATATTATTTATATCCAGCTTTATTTTATAAAAGATATGAGATGATTATAAATTATCTCGTGGGTCGAAAATGACTTCTAAATATAAAGAAATTTGGCTTAATTTCCTAGGGCAAATACAAAATTTTTTTAATTTCTAGAATTTCCTTTCAAATCCAGTAAAACATTGGTTTTTTTTTTTTTTTTTTAGAGACAGAGTCTCACTTTGTCGCCCTCAGTAGTGTGCCATGGCGGCAGAGTTCACAGCAACCTCCAGCTCTTGGGCTTAGGCAATTCTTTTGCCTTAGCCTCCCAAGTAGCTGGGACTACAGGTGCTCACCACAACACCTGGCTATTTTTTTGTCGCAGTTTGGCCAGGGCCCTACTCACTGAGCCACAGGTGCCTCCCTAAATGGTTCATTTTTACTTGTGGAAACATGCATTTTTAGTTCCATTCACAATTTTTTAAGAGACCTATGCCCAGTATGATTATAAACATACATTTGGGGAAGTTTTTTTTTTTTTTTTTGAGACAGAGCCTCAAGCTGTTCCCCTTGGTAGAGTGCTGTGGCTTCACTGCTCACAGCAACCTCCAACTCCTGGGCTCAAGCGAGTTTCCTGCCTCCGCCTCCCAAGTAGCTGGGACCACAGGCGCCCACCACAACGCCCGGCTATGGGGAAGTTTTTCATATGTTTCCTTCTTAATAAACTAGAATATGTACAAACTGTGTTTGTCCTGATAAGCACAGGGCTCTCATCCTCAGCCCTGGGCCATGTGGATTTTGGTTCCACCAGTGGAATCTCAGTCGCACCTTTATCCCCAGGGCCTGATAGAAGTGCAGTTGTCCAGCCCTTTCCCAGACTTGCTAACTCAGACCTGGGGACTAATGCAATGGTCTGTGTTTGATCAAGTCCTCTGGTAGGTGATTCTATGGTGCGTACTGAATTTTGCAAATTTTTCTCTCCCGTGAACAATTTGTCTTTTATAACTTTGAGAATCAAGTTTAGTGTATGTATGGTAGAAAAGTCTTTTGGGCAGTGCCTGTGGTTCAAAGGAGGGTGCCAGCCCCATATACCGGAGGTGGCGAGTTCAAACCTGGCCCTGGCTGAAAAAAAACCTGAAAAAAAAAAAAAAAAGGAAAAGTCTTCTGACTGGTTCACTTTTTCCATGTCGGTCATTTCCTTCATTTTTTTCATTCGCTTTCAATGTGAATCATTATGACCATATTCCATCCGAGTGCACTGACTGAATCACGAGGGAACCTAGACGGCAGAGTGTGCCGCGTATGGTGAAGGCCCTGGGTGAGGTGGGAGCGGAGGCTGGTGCAGAGGCACAAACCTCACCCTACCAAGAGTATCCGTTTTATAGGGTCTTTGAAACTAACCAGAAGTGACCCAGAAGCATGTGCTGTTCATGACAGTTTAACAGAGATTTTGGGCTGATGACTTTGGTCATAGTACACATTATTATTCACCAAGAAACTCTGAAAATTTATAGTGTGACTCTTAGATTTTATTTATATAAAAACATTTATATTTTACACGATAGTTTAAGTGATAATAGAATGCTTTTTGACATTGGTTGGTCCCTCTTGTATTAATATTGATTTATATTTGCATAGCTAGTTTGATGGGAAAATAAAATCTTTATAACTTTTTTAACTGAGTCAATACTTGTAAATAGTCAAATTATAAGTTCAGACGCACTACATGAATTTGTGAAAGCTGTTTTAAATTGTGATTTGACTTTTTAGTTCTAGAGTCTTAAAGAGTTAACTCTTTGGCTTTTAGGATATAATATATATTTTAAAGCATTTATTGACTTTAGATTAAATTTTTAAGTTGTATAGCTAAAAGTGAAATATTTAAAAATTTTTAATTTGGAAGAAAATCCTATCTAAACCAAAAAGTATATACAATATATTATACATATATATATATAGACACATACACATACAAACATACATATACATGCACACACAGTATATAGACATACTTTGTTTGGGCTTTATCCCAACATAGAAGTACTTTAAAAAATCATTTTATTTGGCTAAGACATGCTTGTGAATAAGACAGCAAATATGCCAAATAATTATTTTTAGAAAAGGCAAATGCTCCAAATATTTTAGAAGTTGATATTAACAAGATGTTATATGTATACATGCACTGTGCTTATATACATGAATTATCTAAGTCTGTCTTGGAATTATAATATTGTCTTGTGTAATTTACTCTTAATTCTTGATTTTATTTTTAAACTGGAAAAGAAAGATGTCTTTTTTGGTTTTCCAATTTTAATTTCTCAGATCTAAAATAACTAATTCAACTTTTAGGGAAAAAGAAACTATTTTATTTTTGTTTATTTATTTTTAAAAATTTAGTTTTTAAAACTAGAGACAGACCTTTGCTATGTTGCTCAGACTGGTCTTGAACTCCTGACCTCAAGCTATCCTCCTGTCTCAGCCTCCCAGAGTGGGGGGATTACAGGCGTGAGCCACTGTGCCCAGTCTGGAACTACTATTTAATGTTTACTGCATTGCTCTCACAATGGTAAATACTTGTAAAAATCAGGTTTTGTATTTATTTGCCAGTAATACAAATAATGACAGGCAGCTGTTAGCGCTTACTTACCAAATCCCAGTATAGTAATGGCCATAGTGCACTAGGACACAGTGCTTCCTACAGTCACCACGAAGAAGCTGAAACACAGATAACCTGCCACCCCTTTAGGTTACAAATTCTTCTATCTGCACAGGCTTTATTGTTCCTAAATAATTTTTAAGAATTCATGCTTACGGCTCGGCGCTTGTGGCTCAAGCGACTAAGGCGCCAGCCACATACACCTAAGGTGGTGGGTTCGAATCCCCAGCCTGGGCCCGCCAAACAACAATGATGGCTGCAACCAAAAAATGGCCAGGCATTGTGGCGGGCGCCTGTAGTCCCAGCTACTTGGGAGGCTGAGGCAGGAGACTCGCTTGAGCCCAGGAGTTGGAGGTTGCTGTGAGCGTGATGCCATGGCACTTTACCCAGGGGGATAGCTTGAGGCTCCGTCTCAAAAAAAAAAAAAAAAAAAGAATTCATGCTTACGTGTAAAATAAAAAGAAAGCAATTATTAATGAAAAGTATATAGGATTTTTTAAATGTTTAAGCACAAGTCCTCTGGAAGACAGTGTAGTGGTGAGCTGTTTCTCTGGGTGTAACATAGACATCTACTCGAGGTTGTATGTTTATGTAGCAAATCACAAGTATGTAGCGTAACAGCTACAAAACAGAGACTGTCCTGTGTTGGTTATAATGACCTAAAAACCTCCAATGATGTTGCCCATAGTGATATGATATTCTAGTAAAATACAATTTTTAAAAGATGAGTAAACAACTTCTAGTAATTTTTTGAATAAGACAAATAATTACCCTTTGATTATTTATTTATTTTTAGTTTTAGATAGCTGCTTTCCTGAAAAATTAATGTCTATACCTGCAGATACTTTTCATCTGAATGTTTGGTGGTACAGTGATGGAATGTGGTCTGCGGGATAGTTCTTTGGCCATGCAGCACCATGTAGGTCCGTTGAGGACTCAGAATTTCCCCAGTCCCTGTCCCCTACCAGCTTTTGTGAATAATAAAAGGCTCCTCCCCTTAAATTTCCAAAGTGCAAGGAGTGGTAGCAGCTCCTCTTGGGTATCACTAGGTTAAAATTTGTACCTTGGGTCAGGACAGGATGTGCAGCTGGTGGCTCGGCACTTCACTTCAGCTGTCACCTTCTGCGACTCCTCCCAGCTTAGACTGGAGGCCAAGAAGCAGCAGTCTGTCAAATGAACAGAGGGAACTATATGTTCAGATGTAGGTCTGTAATCTCTTCAGACATTAATTTGTAAACTAATGATGGTGAATTTAAACAGTTTCAATCCATAAATTGTATGCATGCTAAATAGAGATTAGCTGACTATACACAAAAATAAATGAGTTTCTTTTGAAATGAATTCACGTTTTTGCATTTTTCTATGAGTACAAACAGAGAAAACTTGTGAAAATGGTATCATGAAACTGCCTTGTATGTTCTTGAGGTTGAAAAGTTTCCATTTAAATTGATACGGAAGAAGGAATTTATAAATTTAAAACCAAGGCCGGGCGCGATGGCTCACGCCTGTAATCCCAGCACTTGGGAGGCCAAGGTGGATGGATTGCCTGAGCTCACAAGTTCGAGACTAGCCTGAGCAAGAGCGGGACCCCGTCTTTAAAAAAAGTAGCCAGGTGTGGTGGTGGGCAACTCAGCTACTTGGGAGGCTGCGGCAAGAGGATCACTTGAACCCAGGAATTTGAGGTTGCAGTGAGCTAAGATACCACGGCACTTCACCAAGAGTAACCAAGTGAGACACTAACTCAAAAAAATAAATAAATTTAAAACCAACAGAAACAAGATGTGGTTATTAGCTCTCAGGGGGAGAGACCCCTCTGTGGCATTTGCAGATTTCTAAGTGTAGCTACTCTTGCTGGGGAGGTCCCAGGACTGGCCGGCCAGCTCCAGCCCACCACTGGAACCCTGGCCCGCAAACCTCACTCTTAGCTTCCGAGGCCCTTGGCTCTTAGTAAGTTAGAGTTTTTGATAATTTAAGGATCAGAAGAACGTGATAAGGTGGTTCCAGATAAGGCATTTAAACATTGCTCTCCTCTCCGGTCATCTTTGTTGAATCAGTAACTGTCTTTTAATGATAAAAACTACTTATTTTGTGAAAAGTGAGAGAGAACTTCACTGAAATACGATAAGGCAGTTTACTGAAACGTTTTACTTAGATTTACGTAGGAAATAGTCAAGTCATACCTGAAACATGAAATGCCAGCGCTCCATCCATACAAATGAGGAACTGATGCCTGCCAGAGTGGATTCCAAACTCTGACGTGAAGTCCTCTTGTTAATGTCCAGAAGTGTCAGCAACTCCTCTCCATGGAAGTAGTTTTGAATATTTGTTAATGGAATTAAAAATCATCTCATTTCGTATTTTTTTAAGAAATATCTTTCTCCCTTAGAAAATAGTATGTAAACCATGTTAATCTATAATAAATGTTATTCAAGCGTATCATATTTTTGTATTAAATATTTAGTTTATATTAATAAATATTTTTATGTATATCTGGACTTTGTATTCTCCTAAAATAACTCTGAGGTTCTTTGCTGGGTAGTCTAGAAATTAAAAATATTCTCTTATAGAAACTTACTATCTGTATTTACTATGGGGGGAATCTATATAACATTTTGTATTTAAATATTTAAGAACAACATGATTTTTAGGATAGGAATAAAAAGTTTTACTATCGAGGGTGCAGGTAAATTGATGCCCTCCTGTGTAGCTGGTGGAAGTATAAATACCCTGTTTGGGAGGAAGTACAGTTACAGATATGAAGCGTTAAACCTGTATTACTTTTAAAACTTGAACACCAAAACCTAGGAATTTGTCATAAAACATAACTCTGGTTTTTTTTTCTTTAACGGTTCATATATTTAGTAACCAATAACATAATCTTACATGCTTGAGGGAAATGTAGGAAGAACATGCATGAAAAAGGTTAATAATAAGTATCCTTGGGAGGTGAAATTATTGTTATTTTTTTCATCTGGATATACCTGATACTAAAATTGGAAAAAATATATTTTTTTAAAAAGGGAAACTACAAACATATTTCACTTACAGATGAGGATGTAATATCCTAAAACACATATTAACAAGTTGAATTAAAAATTATTGTTGAAATCATGTACTTTGGTCAAAATTAAATCCAATTTATGTGAGAATTAGTCACTATTTTCTTTTCTTTTTTTCCTTTTCTTTTCCTTTCCCTCACCCCCTCCTTCCTTCTCTGTCTGCTCTCCCCCTTCCCCCATGCCCCACTGTGTCATTAATTGTCCTCATATCAAAGTTGAATACATAGGATTTATGCTTCTCCATTCCTGTGATGCTTCACTAAGAATAATGTGTTCCACCTCCATCCAGGTTAATACAAATGCTGCAAAATCCCCATTTTTTTAATGGCTGAATAGTATTCCATGGTGTACATATACCACAGCTTGCCAATCCATTCCTCCTAAATGAGGGACATTTAGGCTGTTTCCACATTTTAGTGATTGTAAATTGAGCTGTGATAAATAGTCTAGTATAAGTGTCTTTATAATAAAAGGTTTTTTTTCCTTCCTTTCTCTCCATATCCACGTCAGTATCTGCAGTTTTGAGATTTTGTGATATGGGCTATTCTTGCTGGGGTTAGATGGTATCTCAGGGTGGTTTTAATTTGCATTTCTCTAATAATTAGGGATGTTGAGCATTTTTTCGTATGTTTGCTAGCCATTCATCTGTCTTCTTTAGAGAGGGTTCTGTTCATCTCTCTCCCCATTGATGTATGGGATTGTTGTCTTTTTTCATGTGGATTAAGTTCTCTATAGATCCTACTTACTAAGCTTTTGTCTGATTCAAAATATGCAAATATCCTTTCCCATTGTGTAGGTTGTCTATTTGCTTTGGTTCTTGTCTCCTTAGCTATACAGAAGCTTTTCAGTTTAATTAAATCCCATTTGTTTATTTTTGTTGTTTTTACAATTGCCATGGCAGTCTTCATAAAGTCTTTCCCCAGGCCGATATCTTCCAGTGTTTTTCCTATGCTTTCTTTGAGGATTTTTATCATTTCATGCCTTAAATTTAAGTCCTTTATCCATCTGAATCAATTTTTGTGAGTGGAGAAAGGTACGGGTCCATGGGTGGCGCCTGTGGCTCAAAAGGGTAGGACACCGGCCCCATATGCTGGAGGTGGCGGGTTCAAACCCAGCCCTGGCCAAAAAAACAAAAATATGTGGGTCCAGTTTTAGTCTTTTACATGTGGATATCCAGTTCTGCCAGCACCATTTATCGAATAGGGAGTCTTTCCCCCAATGTATGTTCTTGTTTGGTTTATTGAAGATTAGGTGCTTGTAAGTTATTGGTTTCATTTCCTGGTTTTCTGTTCAATTCCAAATGTCTATGTCTTTGTTTTATGTTTTTCTTTTTTAGAGACAGAGTCTCACTTTGTCTCCCTCAGTAGAGTGCTGTGGCGTCACAGTTCACAGCAACTTCCAGTTCCTGGGCTTAGGCGATTCTCTTGTCTTAGCCTCCTAAGTAGCTGGGACTACAGGCGCCCATCACAACGCCTGGCTGTTTACTTTTGTTGTTGCAGTTTGGCCAGGGCCGGATTTGAACCTGCCACCCTCAGTATGTGGGGCTGGCACCATACTCACTGAGCCAGAGGTGCCACCCCTCCATGTCTCCATTTTTGTGCCAGTACCATGCTGTCTTGACCACTTGACCTTGTACAGCCTAAACTCTAGTTTTTTTCTGGTAGCAAAACACTAGAAACAACAAGCAGCCAACACGAGGGGACTGACTAGGTCACACATGTTGAGGAGAGTGCTGACTCCAGGGCCTCTGTGTGTCGCTGTGAGCAGGCCATGAGCCGGGCAGTGACCTGAGGGAGGCCTGCCTGTGAGGTGAGTCTCAGTCGCAGTCACCAATGTCACTACATAATGGTTCAGAAAGTCTTTATCTATTAGAGATAAATAAACTAAGGCAGGTGGGAGATAGATGAGGCAAGGTTTGTGAAGGATTGTCAGTTACTGAAGCTAGGTGACAGGTGCATGGAGCTTATTGCAGTAGTCTCTAGTTTGGGCTGCCTTTGAAAATGTCCGTTAAAAAAGTTAAAAACAGAAGTGCCAGCATCAAAGCGTACATCTTGACATAGGACAGTAGTTCTCAACCTTCCTAATGCCACAACCCTTTAATACAGTTCCTCTGGGTTGAGAACCACTGTCATAGGAGATTGTTCACCACATATTAAGTAAAAACACAAAAAGTATTTGTATACTGACAATATATGTTCTTCCTTTACTCTGTAGTAGCATACATATATATTTTTTTTTTTGGCAGTTCTTGGCCGGGGCTGGGTTTGAACCTGGAACCTCTGGCATATGGGGCCAGCGCCCTACTCCTTTGAGTCACAGGCGCCACCCATACGTATATTTTTATAACAAAAACAAGCCATACACTGAGAATGTTAGCTGTGGTCCTCTAGGAGGTGTGATGGCGATTGTGTTCATTTTCCTTTGCTTAGCCTTTTATTCGTGGCTCCCAAGACTGAATTTTACTTATATTTTAAAAAGATGTAAGAACGAATATCCCGAAAAACAAAAGGTTGAATCACTTTGCCCTGTGCAGAGCTCACTGTGCCAGATGTCTCTCCTGGGTTTCTTGGGCTTAGCAGTCTCCATACTGCTCATGCCGAGGACTGGAGGCCAGACATGTCCCTCTGGTGGCCGGCTCCCTCTGCCTGGCCACACCACAGGTGCCTCCTGGGGGCTCCATGACAGGACATGGAGTTTAGGGCCCCACTCATGTGTTTGCTAGAGAATTGCTGTCACATACTAGGCTTTTAAAGGCAGGTAGGAGAGAATCTGTTAGTTAATGGAGGAGCCAAATTTATAAACTTGTTTATTGTATTATTTTATTATTGTGTTAATCTTATTTAAGATTTTCCATCTATTTCTGCTTCCCCTTGGTGTTCCACATTCTGTGTCTTTCCCAGTGGAGGAGCCCATTGCCTGTGCCCACACCTGGCGTGTGCACCCTGCATACGGCTTTTCCGTCCTGCTGTGCGCTCTGCTTTTCCTGCTAACTGCAAATTCTCATCATTCATGCCCCAGCCAGAGTTCACCTTTCCCCGAGTCTTCCAGCATGTTGCTGGGATCCTTTCCTATTCTATTACCACATCATTTAGCACTGGTTTTACATTGTAATCTCATTGTGTTTTAATTTCTCTTTAGAACGAAATTGTGAACCTTGTCAGGTCAGACCCTGGTTGCACCTTGTGTCTGGGAATGCATGGTTAGAAGGCAGCCACCCTCCTGGTGTGGCGAGGTGCTCTGCCACACGGCCACCTTACTTAGATAAGCCTGTCCTGGAAAACCAGCTCTGTAAAAATTACCAATAAATAAACACTTGGATTACATAGCAATTATTCATTTTAAAATTTTGCATAGGATTCCTAGCTCTCCTTTGTATTTAAAATATTTTTAAAAGATCATTTTAAACAGGTCATTGAATACTCTCCTGCAGGCACCGTGCCTTCCCGGGCTCCTGGATGGGGCGTTAGCACCTCTTGCTGCACGTCCTCCGTCTCCGTGCACATTCTCCTGTGTAGAAAATGGCAGTGACAGTTGCTGAACATTTCAACTGCATTCCTTTCCTAAGGTTCCTTTTTAAAAATGCCTGATTGTAGGAGATTTTATGGGATTCACAGCTTTGTTGTGTGTGTGTTGTGCTCTGCTCACAGGAGAAGTACGAATGTGCTTTAAAGCGAACCAGCATTAAGATTGTGACTCCTGACTGGGTCCTGGACTGCATATCTGAGAAGAGCAAAAAGGATGAAGCGTTTTATCATCCTAGGCTGATTATTTATGAAGAAGAAGAAGAGGAAGAAGAGGAGGAGGAGGAAGTGGAAAATGAGGAGCAAGATTTTCAAAATGAGGGTAGCACGGATGAAAAGTCCAGCCCTGCCAGCTCGCAGGACGGGTCTCCTCCAGGTGACCAGCAGTTTTCCCCCAAGGCCAACATTGAGAAATCTAAAGGAGAATTGATGTTTGACGACTCTTCAGATTCATCACCTGAAAAACAGGAGAGAAATTTAAACTGGACCCCAGCTGAAGTCCCACAGTTAGCTGCAGCCAAACGCAGACTGCCCCAGGGAAAGGAGCCTGGGCTGATTAACCTGTGTGCCAATGTCCCTCCAGTCCCAGGGAACATTTTGCCTCCTGATGTCCGGGGTAATTTAATGGCTTCTGGACAAAACCTCCAAAGTTCTGAAAGATCTGAAGTGATAGCTCCGTGGAGTCCAGCTGTGCGGACACTGAGAAATATTACTAACAATGCTGACATTCAGCAGATTAACCGACCATCAAATGTAGCACACGTAAGTCACACTTTAAAAAACAGAAACAAAAATAATTGGATTTCACACTCAGTTACGGTATAGCTTATTGTTTCTGCTTCTTCAGACCGAGTAACTTATGAGCAGTATTGATTTGTGTGAGAACTTGTTTTGCAGTCACATATGCACATATAGACTTTAGCTTTGTAAATTCTGTTGAGAAAGAGGGGAACAGCAAGCAGGGAGTGGGAACAGGACAGCATTGGTAGAGCACTGTCCCTTGAAGGAAGGTTGCCATTTTCACCAGGTTTAAAATTAGCATTGGAGCAAAGAGAAGACTGAAGTTCACCAGCTGTTCTCAGTTTGTTTGTAGTGACCTTCATGGTAGTAAGACATAACAAATTCATTCATTCATTGAAGAAACCTTGAACTCAGCTGATAGAGATTGATATGGAATAGATCTTAAATGTTTTAAGTAGATGTTTTTTAGTTTAAGACAGAAGGTGGTTGATGTGGTACCTTGGCCGCTGTTTGCATTTTTCTGGACACCGGGGATAAAGTGGTAAATAAGAAAGACAAGCAGAAGAATTCTGTGAAAATAGTAACCATCAGGCAGTAGCAGTTAGCAGGAAGGAGGCTGTTCTAGATGGTGAGGAGGTCGGGAGTGCATCGTGAAGGAGGGGTCTCAGGTCGGGTTGGAAGTCAGGGAGGCCATGGCAAGAAGCAACAGCAGAGAGTTCCGGGAGAAGGGAACAGCACCCGCCAAGACCCAGAAATGGATGTGGCTTTGCTGTGTTGTAAGAAAAGAGAATGAGTGAATGAGTGAACTTGGTAACGTGAGCGAGTGCTAGGGAAGATTGGAAAGGGGCCTGGTCGGGGCATGCTTCCTGGCAGCCAGCCCTGGGGAACCTGGAGCGAGCTGAGGTCCCAGAAGTGCTGTGCAAGGGGTGGACCGTAGAGGGGAAGAGGGAGGCAGAGACCCTCGAGCCCAGTTGGAGAAAGAAGCGTGGAAGGGGAGGGCCTTGCTTCCCACTGTGAGAAAGGAGTGGAGGTGATGGGGTTTCAGCAGTAAGGGCACTCACTGCAAGAGCTGCAGGCTGTAGGCCCCTCCGAGGCGCTGGGTTTGGGTTTGCGGTGTCTGATGCTTCCCAGGGAAGACTTCTGGCCAGCAGGGGACGTGTATATCTGGCTGTCCTGTAGAATGGTTTGCTAGAGTTAACCAGGTGAGATGGTGCTGGTAGAAGCTGTGGGAATGGACCCAGGGCAGGCTGGGCTGGGCTGGCAGTTTGCCTTGTTCTGGACACTTCGGTTTTATGTTTTTGTTTCCTGAGTAGCAGCTCAGCGTCCCAGAGAAGTGACTCTGGGGTCTGGGAACAATGTTGTACACACCTACTCTGGGTGGGGGGCTTGATGTGCAGCAAGTGGAGATTTGCAAGTGGCCTGCTGTTAAGAGTCGCTGCTAGTTTCATTGGGTGGCATGGTGGAGGTGGCTTTAAAAGCCTTTATTGGTTAAAGATGCTGAGAAACACCTCTCCTTCCTCTCTAGGCTTCAGTGGCTCTGGGCAGTGCCTGGTGCTGGAGGGGGTATAGCATCTCAAATATGGGAGAGGCACGCGTCCTTTATACAGCAGAAGGGAAAGTTAGGATGGCGTGAGGCAAGGGGAGCAGAGAGGAGAAAACCAATTGTGAAACAGTTCACAGAGCGGGAAGACAGTGATCCATCTGGTAGGGTCTTTGTCAGAATCAAATGAAATGTGTAAAAGCTGCAGGCGCTGGGGAGTGGAGTCAGTGGTGGTTGAAAATAGGCCGTGCCCTTTGCTCCTCACCTCTCTGCAGCTGAGAGAACAGTGTTACCAGTTACCCATCAGCTTTGTTTGTTCCTGCTGTATTCTGTGTTTTTTAAATACAGTGGATGTTGGTTTAAATCCAAAGTTCCTTATTTTCTCATGTTTGTGTTTGAAAATATAAAGAGGAAATAATCTCATTTGAAATGGAAATAAGTGGCTGTAACAGGGAGTTCAGCACATCTCTGCTTTTGAAATTGTCCTTAGGAGTCGAACTTATCCTCAGCTGTGGCTGCTGAGCTGACCTGGGTCAGCGCCATCTTCTCCAGTGCATGGGGCAACTTGATCACTAGTTGAGAACAAAGTGAAAAAATAAATTTTCTGAGAGTTTTTCTGCAGTGCCAGAGAGAACATAAGGACACTTTACTGCTAGATGTGAAGAACGTGAGTTTTTGAAATATTAGAAATAGGAGACAGATTTAGTTTAACATTAAATTGTGGTGGGGGAGTGGGGTGTAACCCTTGAAATCCTATTTAAATTGCAAATTTATAGTGGCTCCAGCCATGTGGTGTGTACCATAATGCTTTATATATTGTGGCATTCAGTAACTCAGTATTAATGTAATTTAAATGAGGTTTATGACAGTTGTGATGGGAAAATTTAAACTTGACATTCATTTAAAATGGTTGTTCTCACTATAGCACAATTACATAATTGAGCCATTACGATTCTTCTTCTTATGTTCTTTAGGATTAACATATGTTTTCAGCCAGAGGCAGATCAGAGGGTTGGAAAGTGATCTGGTGAATGTGGCAGAGGTTCTAAGAGACCCCGAGATGGCTGGCCTTGTGTGTGCCCCTCTCGTGCTGTGCTCGACTTTGCAGGTGCAGAGGGTTCAGGCCAGTGGCCACCTTCATTCCTGGCCAGGGCTCTGAAATCTCCACCTGATCTCCCTTAAGGACTAGAGTTAGCAGCAGATGGGACCCTTCTCAACCTGTTCTCCTGAGGCCTTTAGTGGAAGCAGCTGGATGCCACCCCCTGCCCGACCCAGGCTCCTTCCCCGCTCAGGTCATGATCACCTTATGCACACAGCAGGCTCAGCGGTGAGGTGTAAGAGGGCAGAGAGGAGCAGCCCCTCCCCAAGTGCCCATGTGTTTGTGTGGTCCTGCATCCCCTCAGAGCGCCATTTATTTAACACCATGTGGAAAACAACTGGTTCAGGTCTGCTCCCTGTGGCAGATAATAGACACTCGTTTCCTCACTGGCCACCAGATTCCATGGGGTGTTCATGTCTCAAGATGAGAAAGTAGTGTGTGTGTATGATTTAAAAGTTCAGATGATGGCAAAGGCCATAGAGTCAAAAGTTAAACTCCTTCCCAGGAGGCGGCCACTGCCCCTCAGCAGTTTCGTGGGTTGGGCTCGTGGCTGATCTGCACGTGGGCAAGCACGTAGGCGGTACTCACTGCGGAAAGTCAGCACACAGAGCTGATCAGCACGGGTCAGCTGTTTGGGGTGGTACGTGGTGGGGCTAATTTTCCCCCCTACTGCTGCTTTGGAGAAGAAATAGTTACTTTATTAAATTTGTTTACAAAACATTTTTCTGTCTAGAGTTTAACTGAGATTTTTCTAAAATCTTGACTCTCCTTGTAGAGATGTCTTATCTATCAGGTGACTTTAAGGGCAAATGTGCCAAGCTTTTGAGTTTGACTTACTTCAATTATGAACTGGATTATTTATCCAAAGCCTGTTTCCCTTACAGATCATATAGTTTTGATTTTGGAGTCTTATTTAAGTGAAAGATATATGTTAGAATCATATTTGAAGTTTTGGTATGGTTCCTAGAATATGCTGAAATTGAATTTCTAGAGTTTTATTTAAATGACAGATAGACTTTTAATAGGGTTAAGTTGTGTGGATTGAGTTTTAGTATTATAAAATCTGTACTGGTCTTCCTGACTCTATTCAGTTTTGTTATTTGGGCATGGTGAATATAATTCATGATGTATCCTTTTTCTTTTGTTTTGTTCAGTGCCCTGTAGGATATAACAAAAATAACCTGCAGTTGGATTCTCTGCTTGGGGGCATCTCATGGCCACTGTCCCTTCCCTTCCTAGCCCTCACAACTAGGGGGACTCAGTGCACAGGACCCAGCTTACCCCTGTCATTGTGAAGCAAGATGAACTGGAAGGGAGACAGTCTGGCCTGGATGATTCTGTCTAGTTTGCAACATTTTGTCCGATCTGAGGACCTCAGGCATTTTTGAGGAAGCATAATTTTCCAGCTATAGTGTCCATTTTTTTAGTTGGGGGAACGTTTACCACTTAAACCTGGTGCTGGGGTCTGGCCTGCCCCCCTTTGGTGGAGTGTGTCACTGTAGGAAGGGGCTCCTGGAGCCACAGCTGAGGGCCCACTGCTTTCATCTGGAAATTGAGGACCTTCCTGTATGGGACTCTGGGCGGTGAGGTGGGGGGAAGATGGCAGGGTGAGGCTCGCCCTGCCAGGTGCCCTCGCCCTGCTCCCTGTGGCAGACAACTGATGCTCATTTTCTTACTGGCCATCAGATTTCATGGAGTGTTTACATGTCAAGATGAGAAAGTAATAGGTGTACAATTTAAAAATTCAGATGATATCAAAGGTCATAGAGCTTCCCCAGAGCTGCAGGGAGGGCAGCAGGCGCTGAGGACGGCTGCAGGTGCCGCATGTGGGGTCATGGGGCCCTGAGGGCACACGGGGCAGAAGACTACCCTGGAAACATTTGGCCAAGAGTCTGTCCACTGTAATTCATTAGCTTGTTCCATTTTACTGATGTGGTTGCAAATTTTGGTGGTTTAAATGTATGAATTTTTTTACATTATTGAAGTTGATGAGGTGAAGTAAATACTAAAGAAAAATGTATTGTTTTTGAAGTTTTCAATCATTTGGCACATCTATCTGGTTGAATATTAAACAGGTTGGATATACCATTAATCCACTAAGAGACTATTAGTCCATTTCAGGAGCTATTGATAATGACGTCACCTAACTTTTGCTTTCTAGATATTACAATCCCTTTCCGCACCTACAAAAAATTTAGAACAGCAGGTGAATCACAGCCAGCAGGGACATGCAAACGCCAACACGGTGCTGTTTAGCCAAGTGAAAGTGACTCCCGAGGCCCACATGTTGCAGCCGCAGCCCCCGCAGCCCCAGCACCCAGTCCTGCACCTGCAGCCCCAGCAGATGATGCAGCTCCAGCCACAGCCACAGCCGTACCCCCAGCCGCAGCCGCACCAGTTCCCGCAGCAGCAGCAGCAGCAGGTCCACCAGCACCAGTTCCCGCAGCAGCAGCTGCAGTTTCCACAGCAACAGCTGCACCCTCAGCAGCAGCTGCACCGCCCCCCACAGCAGCTCCAGCCATTCCAGCAGCAGCAGGCCCTGCAGCAGCAGCTGCACCAGCTCCAGCAGCACGGTCTGCTCCAGCAGCAGCAGCAACTGGCACAGCTCCAGCAGCACGGCCTGCTCCAGCAGCAGCAGCAGCACCTGCAGCAACACCAGCTGCAGCGCGTGCACCAGCAGCAGCAGCTGCAGAGCCAGCCAGTGCCGCACCTGAGTCAGCCGGCCCCAGCCCTGCAGCACCAGGCCCCGCCCCAGCCGCCACCGCCACAGCAGCAGCAGCAGCTTTTTGGACACGACCCAGCAGTGGAGAGTTCGTAATGGGGGTTTTCTCTCTCTCCCAAAAGTCTTGTACCTACAGGAGTGCTTTGAGAATGTCTGGGGTATGGGGTGAGGGTTGTCACTATGGAGCACCTGACAAAGCAGGGGCTGTAATGGCATAACTGTCCTTCCTTTGGTACTTCGGAGGTCGGGTACTTAGTGCTCCAAAGAATGTCTGGGCTGCCATGTAACCCGGAGTGTTGGCTGCTCACATATGAGTTATGTTTTATTTTTCAGTGATGATTTAATATAGACAATATTCTAAATGTACTTGAATTGCCTACAGATATATTATGGTCAAGGCTGATTAACTTAATAAATTTAAATGAAACTTGGCAATATGGCACATTCTGTGCAACCATATTCACAGGGTTTTAATTTTCCTTTTCTTGTATAATTCTGTTCTAGTTCCAGAAGAAAGCTTCTTACTGGGATGTGTGTTTGCAATTGCGGATTATCCAGAACAGATGTCTGATAAACAACTACTGGCCACCTGGAAAAGGGTGAGGTTGTGCCTGAGAGGAGTTAAACTTTGATCTGAAAGTGCTCCTTGCTCAAGTAGACCATCCACTTGTCTACATTCATGGAGATGTGGGAGATGCAGCCGCGTGTGTTCTGGCCTTGTTCTGGGCAGTTCTTAGTCACATTATCATTCTTAAGGTTCTTTCATCTGAGATTTTAAGGGGTGCTAATGATCTGTGTATAATTGGGGGTGCAGAAATAAGGTCTACTTTTTGATAACCCAGGATAGCAACCACTAACTTGTACATGTCTTGGTTATTTCTGTTTCTCCAAAAGCAAATACTAGAAAGTCCTAGAATCTCTACTTTAGAGGGGACCCCAAAATCTTCTAGCCAGAAGAAAACGTAAATACCTTGCTATGCCATAAATCAAAACCGAGCCAAAACATCTGAGTTTAGGTAACCTCAAATAAATCTTGAATGTCCTTCACTATAAGCATCCCTGCTGTTTAACCCTTGCTTAAGTGCCAGACAGGCTGCAAGACCTAAACGTAAATACCTTGCTATGCCATAAATCAAAACCGAGCCAAAACATCTGAGTTTAGGTAACCTCAAATAAATCTTGAATGTCCTTCACTATAAGCATCCCTGCTGTTTAACCCTTGCTTAAGTGCCAGACAGGCTGCAAGACTGCCAGTAAACAGGATGAGCACCTGTGGGGCAGTGGGGACACGGGCAGGAGCGAGGCCCAGGGCATCGTGAGAGCCTGAGGAGCAACCTCACCCATCAGCCTGGGGGCTGTTAGGGAGGGTCTCCTGGCAGAGGTGCTTCCTGAACTGAGTCTCTTGGGACATGCAGCAGCACAAATTAGGGCAGGATTTTTCTGGATGGAGCAATACGGGTGAGATTGCAGGGATTGCTGGGGCAAGCAGCAACGGACGTGCTGCTCGGGGGGCTCCGTGGCCCTGGGGAGCAAGAGGCAAGGCTGGCTTGTCTCCTGAGACCGGCTTTCAGCGTTGCTGTGGGGTTTGCATTTGTCGTCTTGTAGTCTTTAGAACATGTAGAAAGTGGCAGATGAAGGGGTCAGCTGCAAATTAGCAAAGTGTTCAACTTGGGAGCGACCAGGAAGACGACTGTGGCTGGCCGATTGAGAGAGGCTGATGATGTGGCAGGTAAGGCAGGGGCAGTCCTGAGGTCAGAGGTGTTCCCAGATAACTTTTGGAAACTGTCCAAAACTCAAAGGTAAGAAAGATAATGGAGACAAATTGGTGGGGTTTCTTTTGTTTGTTTTTAAGTTAAAGGATTAGCCCAAAAGGTCCAACATTAAATAATAGGAGTTTGGATACATGTCAAGAAAGTTATTAAAGAAATGAGCTTACAACTAAGAGAAAGAAAAGGGTGATTGTAAAGGCAACTGTGAATGTTTGGACTGTTTGAGAGAAAGGACTTTTCTCCCAGAGCTCAGTAGGGGGAAGGTCCTGAAAGATTAGGAATCGGGATGGTTCAAGGCATCTTAGACTAGCACCTGGGACTAGAGGACAGTGGAGCAGTTTGTTCACAGTTTTGAGGGAAAACAGTGTCTAACACGTGCAATCTGTCAGTCATGAGACTGTGCAATAAAGATATTTTCGTACTTCTAGGGTTAAAATTTATCTCTTTTGTATGCTTAGGAAGCTAAGAGAGAATCACGCTGCTGAGAAGTGAACAGAGATTGGAAGGGGATTCTCACTAGGTGTGAGAGTAGGACCCGGAAGAGCCACTGGGTGCCAGAAGGGAATGAAAAGAGACATATCCAGTTTGCCCTTGAACAGTATGGGGGCTGGGGACACTGACCCCAACTAAGTTGAAAATTCAGGCGTAATGTTGGACTTCCCCCAAACCTTACTATTGATAGGCCACTGTTGACTGGAAGCCTCACCAATAGCACGAGCTAGTGGCTGTGCGTTTTCTATGTGTATTACACACTGTATTCTTACAATGAAGAGAGAAAAGAAAGTGCTATGAAACTCATAAGGAAGAGAAACATTTGCTGTTCACAAGTGGAAGAAGGTCATGATAGAGGCCTTCATGCTCCCTCAGGTGTGTGGCCGAGGAGGAGGAAGAGGGAGCAACCTGAAAGCTACTCGGGGTCACCTGTGCTGTGGCAGCGTGCTCTTGCTGTGTGACAGGACCCCAGAGCTTAATGATATGAGGAGCAAAGATGGTCTTGGGTCAGAAATCCTGCAGTGGCCTAGCGGGTGGTTGTGGTTCAGGCTGTCTCATGAGGCTGCCACCAAGATGTCAACTGGAGGCCTCAGTTCCTCACCAGGCGGGGGCTGTCCCTGGCTGCCCAAGTGTCTGCCATGCAGTGACTGTCTTCCTTCCCCAGAGTGAGTGACTAGAGACAGAGCCAGGAGGAGCCACGGTTGCTGCGCCCTTGGTGGCTGCATGTGGGGGTTTCCTGCTGTCAGTTCTGCCCTGTCTGTCAGGTTGGAGAGTGGAGCTCTGACTCCTCCTGGGAGGAGGACACAATTATTGTGGACATACTTTAAAACCACCATGTATACATTTCTTTGGAGACTTTAGGCATGAAATGATGAAAGGTATATAGACAACTAAGAAGAAGGCAGATTGAGATGGGGGCAGGGTGAGGCCATCACTAACGCCAAGGGGAGCAAACGTTTCTCCAGGAAAAGAACTTTAGTCTCAGGGGCTTATTAAACCATACGTCTGAACTGTGTTGTATTAAATCACTCAAGACTGATGTCGACAAGAATTGTGGTATAAGCAAATTTGGAGGGTTTAGGGCCAGGTAAAAGGTGGCCTCCATGATAGGAGGTCAGTAGGTAGGATGAGAAACTGGAAAATAAACAGCAGCATGGGACAGCCAATCAGAAATTGTCATAAGAAACAGCTTCAGAGCTGAATGTGATTGCTTTGGCAGAATGGAAGGCAGGGAAGGGAGAGGGAGCCACAGTCGTCACACGCCTCACTATGCTGTGCTTGTGAATAGCTGTAGTAAAAGTACGTTTTCAAAGGTAGTGAATGAAACTGGTGAGTTTTGGAGGTATAGAGACCTTCTTAATTTTATATTTTAATATATGATACATTCCCCCCTTTTTGTATAGTATTTTGCATTTTGACAGATGCCTTCTGCTTCCTAACCACCGTCACAGGAAGCAGGACAGCTCCTTTACTCTCCAAAACTGCATCTGTTTTAAAAAATACATTTTTGGTGTTTACTAATTTTATTCTCATGTGCTTTTTAAGTTTCCTTTTAGAACAGTGGTTTTGAGGGGAGTGAGTCTGCACCCACTGGTACAGTTGTCTGAAGACATTTCTAGTCACTCCAGTGACAGGTGCTGCTGCTGGTGTGTAGTGGGCAGGGAAGAAGCCTCCCCCAGGGCCAGGACAGCTCCTGCCACACAGAAGGAACTGGCCTACAGTGTCAGGGGTACGGAGGTTGAGAAAAAACTCTGTTTTAGAAGAAGGATCTTCCATTGTTCTTCCCTTTCTTCCTGAAAATTCAGATTAAGTGTGGGAGTTCATTTTCATTTTATAGTGCTGGTAGAAAAGTTTATAAATGTAATTGATATGTCTTTTGTTCTTTGGGGAAATATACCATATGATAACTATATGATAGATTCTTTTAACAGCTGTCTCATGTGACATGCTAATTCTGCTCTGTTCTCCTGAGTGATCAGTCGGGTCTGTTTGTCTAGATAATCCAGACGCATGGTGGCACTGTGGACCCCACACTCACCAGCCGATGTACACACCTTCTCTGTGAGAGTCAGGTCAGCAGCCTGTATGCTCAGGTAAGGAGAATCGCCCCAGCTGTGACGGGGAGCAAAGCCTGTCCTTTTTTATGTGCAGTCTTAAGGTTCTAATAATTCTTACTTTGGGGAAGGACTTTTTATCTCTTTAAATAGGAGAGCTGCTTCTTACTTTTGCTGTTGCTTTGGTGGATCTATGCCTTTGATGACACTGAATGGAAGATGGCGATTCCAGGCAGTGTTAAGAGTAGACACTCCTTCCAGTCATTACCTGGCTGCACTGAGGGTGCCGTGGGCGGAGCAGATGTGGTGCTGCCCTGCAGCTGTGCACACGGGGCCGGGAAAGGCACACACCTCGGCCTCTCCTCTGGGGCTCAGGCTTTCTCCTCTGCATTGCCTTCTTTACCCCCAAAGTTTTATCTTTTTATTAAAATGTTCTTTTTTGTAGATAGATTGATGTTAATGTGTATGTGACCTCAGAAACCCCTCTTATAGAGGGTAGCCATTGACTGCTTTTCAACTAAAAATGTAGACACACCTGTGTTGGTTTTAGGTAGATGGTTATAATTGTTACATCTGGCCTTATGTCGGGGCCTTTGTGTTCCTCTGGGGACTTCAACTTTGACTACAAATGTTATCTCCTTTATGATTAAAATTACTTTTAAGGTTGACAGAAAATGTGTTGCTTTCGTCCCCCATTGCAGGCTCTTGTTCTTACATAAACTTTTAAACTACACTGATATAATTTGTTACTTTAGTAAATCCAGTGCTGAGTGTCATGACATTATTTTATTATGGGGCTTCTAATGAAGATAGTGTTGTTACATAACCTTATAATTTTGTGTTTAAGTCTGCAGCAAAAAACCGCCAACAACAAACCTATAATTTTATGTTGATAGGCAATAAGAGAGAGAAAGAGATGCATCACTGCACATTGGTTAAACACGGTCTTGAAGAAGAAGAGAATGGTGCCCCCTCACCGAGCCCTTCACTTCCCAGTGGCGTTCCCGCCGGGAGGGAAGCCATGTTCCCAGCATGTAAGGCAGAGCCTTTTATTTTGACGCTTTTTTTTTTAAATCATTCTTCTGCTTTGGCAGATAATTGTGTACTAATGTATGGGCACACATGCTGGCTTCTGAGGCAGTGTTTTTCTGGGTAATTTGGCCTGGTTTCTGTGAGCCTGCTCATTAAGAAATAACTTTGTTTTGTTCCCATGTAACAGTCATAGTTTTCTGCATACAGTGGACATTTAATGTGTGGTGCAGTCTTTGACACTATTGGCAATCCAGAAATAAATTGAGTGTTGCACCATAGACAGAACTATATTGAGTTCTGGGTTCTCTCACTCCAGTGATCCCCAGATTGGGATCGGTGAGGAGGAGGAAGAACTGACTCGTGTATGTACGTGTGGTTAATCAAATAACGATGTTAAAATTATCCAGGCAATGTCAGGTTAACTCCAAAAAGGTTTTCCTGTATCTGTCCCATCACGTTTATTCTTTTTGTTCCTTCCACTAAGGCTATTTCTGTAGCATTTTTACTGTTAATAAAATTCTGGTTTCATCATTCTTAGGAATGGTATTACCAAATGTGTCCCCTAATGCCAAAGAAATAATAAAAAAAATAAATACACCTATAAAACAACTAAGAAGAAGCAGTAGTACTTGACTCTAATAGGTTTTTTCCCTTTGTTTGCCCCTTTTTTCCTTAGATTATTTCTGTGACTGGATTTGTTGATAGTGACAGAGATGACCTAAAATTAATGGCGTATTTGGCAGGTGCCAAGTACACGGGTTACCTGTGTCGCAGCAATACCGTTCTCATCTGTAAAGAGTAAGCGTCTCCTGAACCCTCTATCCTTAAATGTACACACAGCGGGGAGCTATTCCACAATCCCTGTTTCATTTGTTGTGGTTGGAATAAATTTGACTGTGGAAATCCAAATCTGATAAAAGTCTGGCAGTGATATTCGTGGTAACCTTAGCAGAAATGCTGCTGAAACATTTGAGTTAATAAACTTTGACTTACAGGCACTAGGTAACAGGAAGCAGGTGCGAGTAGGGCTGGTGCATGGTCTGCTGGTCCTTCTGACCTCGCGCCTTGAAGTGCTTTTGGTCACCAGCCGGGGTCACCAGCTGCTTGGCTAGCATACGCTTGTCACTCCTGTTAGGAGAAGATGCTTTATTGGCTTTTGTTGAAAATAAATATAAATTCAGACTGCAGACAACTCTAACATTTAAAAAATGTGTTTTCTTCCCCCCCCCCCCCCCAAAAGACCAACTGGTCTCAAGTATGAGAAAGCCAAAGAGTGGCGGATCCCCTGTGTCAATGCACAGTGGCTCGGGGACATCCTCCTAGGGAGCTTTGAGGCGCTGAGGCAGGTTCAGTACAGTCGCTACACCGCCTTCAATCTGCAGGACCCGTTCGCCCCGACTCAGCATCTGGTTTTAAATCTTCTAGGTAAGTGCGCCCTACATGCTGTCTCAGGAGGGCTGACCGCCACGCCTGGCTGCGTCTTTTGTTCACTTCTTGTTTCCTTTCTATACTCTTTCCTTCTTCTCCCTGCTTTGTTCAGTGTTTGGTATTTTTATTTGCTTTTAAAAGGCCTTTGGAGATGGAAGGGGAACTCTCAAAAGACCCTTTAGTCTTGTCTCTCAAGCCAGTTATCTTGTGTAAGAATGTCCCTCACCCTATGGAACAGCCCCTGCTTTTCTCAAATTGACTTGCTGTTGCATCCGGAATGTCCTCGTGCCTTGTGTGGTGAGCAGGTGGATATCTGCTTGCCACTCCACCTTCCAGCAGACTGTCCCCATTGTAGATACTGCAACACTGAAGTTTAGTCATGGCCCTGTGTCCACAGGGTAAGCATGCTGGTCCCTTCGGCCAGCTCCTGCTTGTGGGAGGAGGGGGTCCTTTCTCTCCACCACCTCTTGTCATAACTGGTGTGATAGAATCCAGACTGTGATTCCCAGAACGGGACACAGTCCTCTAGAAATGTCTAACCAGACAGTGCACAGTAGGACGGAATACTGTTGATTTAGAAACCATGTGGGCTTCCTTGTCCGCTGCTGACTCTTAGTGCTACCTTGTATCAATAATGCACAGTAAACTAAGCAGCAAGAGCGCTGGCTCCCAGGAGTGGCCTGCTGGCTCCCGGGAGTGGCCTGCTGCGCTCCCGGGAGTGGCCTGCTCACCTCTTCCATCTTGTAAATCTAAGTATAGAGCAGTGGTTCTCAGCCTCCCTAATGCCGTGACCCTTTAATACAGTTCCTCATGTTGTGGTGACCCCCAACCATAAGATTATTTTCGTTGCCACTTCATAACTGATTTTGCTGATTATGAATTGTAATGTAAATATCTGATATGCAGGATGTATTTAGGTGACCCCTGTGAAAGGGTTGTTTGACCCCCAAAGGGGTTACGACCCACAGGTTGAGAACCACTGGTATAGAACATGGCACTTAAGTTGATCCCCATTAAACACTTGTGGCTGAGCTACCTACGTTTCTAGATTGTCGCCTCAGAGGAGGCTTTTACAAGAAGGCTTTTCTATTTAAACAGTGATTGTGAAAAGTAACCTATTTCTCTCTTTAGATGCTTGGAGAGTTCCATTAAAAGTGTCGGCAGAGTTGTTGATGGTATGTCAAATTAATAACCTTATTTTGGATATACTATGCTGTTAAAATGTTGTGGTAGGGATGTATTTTTAAATTAAAAATTTTTGACTAATTTGTCAACATGGTAACTATGGAAGCTGTGTCTTCTCACTTGTCATCACGTTTATCCAAGGCTTGTTTTTCCTGTGGTTGTTGATGTTTCCTTGTTACAGACATGTGAGGGGCATTATTTGCTTCAGAGAGCTACATGTGATTGCCTAAAGAATTGGAGAAGAGAAAGATGATAAGGTGACTTCTTGTTTTTCATGGGATAGAAAGGCAAGAACTTTGACAACTATTAGAAGCAATGGACCCATACCCGACTTGAGGCCCAGGTCTCGGTGTCCCAGGTGGGGTCTCGGTTGCGATGCTTTTCAGGACCGGCCATTCTGGAAGTCTGAGTGCCAGTGGTGGTTAGTTAGGAGACAAGTAGGGCTGTCCTTTAGGCCAGGGGCTGGCCAGTGCTCCTGTGTCATGTGAGGAGGAGAAAGTGAGTTGTGTCTTTTGCTGTTTTCCAGCATTAGTACGTTTTAAGTTACAGACAGGACCATCGCAGTAATTTTCACTCGACTTTTCTCTCAAGTACTTGTCACTGACTGCACATCAGTACTGGGAGAGGGCGGGTCATTTGTAGTGTGAAGGCTTAACTTTAGGTTCGTGGTGCTTCCATGTCACGTGCCCAGCAGTTTTCAGTGGGTTTCCACGATATATAGAGGGTGTGTGGTGTTTGTGCCACTTGAACAGCTGGGGAGATGTTCTCATCAGGGTTACAGCCAACACCTGAGCCTGTGTTCTGATTGTTGCCCCCTGGCTCCTTTCACACATCTGATCTGAATGCTGCTGCTAATTGTCCTGAGTCTTTCAGGAAGCCCGAATACAGGGTGTCCATAAAGTTCACATGCAGTTTACTATGTTAAACTCTTCTCGCCTCCCCTCTCCTCTCCTCCCCTCCCCTCCCCTCTCTCCCCTCTCCCTTCCCTTCCCGTTTCTCTTTTCCTTCCTTCTTTCCTTTCTCTCTGTCTCTTTCTTTCTTATTCATTGAGGGTACAAAGAATCAAATTACATCGCTTGCATTTGTTAGGTAAAGTCCCTCTTAAATTGTGTCCCACCCTCCAAGAGGTGTGTCACACACTTACGTTAAACTGTTTTAAATTGTACATGAGCTTTATGTCTACCCTGCATATAGGGCAGTGTCTTATTAATACTAATGATTATGAGACCAGGTAATACATATATTTTTCCTAGCTTAAACTAGTAATTATAATTTTAATAAGACACACAGAGGCCAAAGCAGATATTCTCTGCAGATCCTCTTTTAGAACTATGGGCTGCTCCTTGATACAGCATCATCCTTGTAGAATTGTGCTCCAGGGTGCAGAACATGGGCCAGAGAAGGCGCGTTGCTCCCCGGGCCTGGGGCCGCGTCTTTGCCTACGTGTGGACTGCTGTGCGGCAGAGAGATGCCACCCAGCGGTCTGCTGAGCTGTGAGATGGAGAAGGCTTTAGAAGTACTCAGAGTTACTTTAGGAGAATGTGGATGAGAGAGAAGAGATGGCAACCATTCCCAGTAGGATACCAAAACCACTTCTAAACAGTGAAGAACAGGTCTGCGTGAAGCCAGGACTCTGGCGACGGCTGACTGAGTGGGGCCGGAATGTCCCACACAGAGAAATGAAAATCCTGTGGTGATGGACACGCCAGTAACCTGGTTAGGTTTGATTAACTCACAAGTATTTTGTACCTATAATAAAAAAAAAAAAAACCTCTGGTGTAGCCAATTTATGACATCCCAAAGAATTCTGTAATGGGCCACTTGGAAGTGACCCACCAGGTAGATTTCAGTAGCATCTTCAATGGGACACTTCTGTCAAGCATATTGGGAATTATTTTTATTTTTGCAAAATAAACTTTTCTTCACTTCATTTGATTCTAATGTATAATTGATTAATCTCGATTATATTAAGCAAAATTAATAACTTGATTAGTATTAATTAAAATTAGTTATCAAAATTAATAACTTTTGATTAGTATATTTCTTAATTTTCAAAATAGAAATTATAGCTTTTTATTAAGCCAAGAAATGTGGAACAAGATTTCTTTAAAATTCTCTTTGGTCATTGAGGGCCCCCAAAAAGACATAAAATGAATATAGGAGGCGTGTTAATCCTCAGTAAGTTTAACTTTAAAATTGTATTTGAGGAATCAAATCTTAGAAAATTCTGGAAGGTTTTGGTAATGGTGCTCCTAATTTTAGGGAAATTAATCAAGCACTTGCTGATTTAAAAGTGTCTTTGGTTTGGTAGTGTTGGTGTTGGTACGTTGCTCCACGAGGCAGTCGCCTACCTAGCAGAGGATTGCAGGGTGTATAGCAAACTTGGACGTCTGGAAAGTCACACTCCAGAACCACTTTGAAATGCTGTGCAAACTTTAAAAAATACAAACCCCGACATGAGGTCACCTGTGATGGTCAGACATTTTGAAAGCTTAGAAAAGCCATGATGTTGACTTTTGTTAAAATTCTAATGCTGGGCGTGGCCGCTCACGCCTGTAATCCTGGCACTCTGGGAGGCTGAGATGGGTGGAATTGCTTGAGCTAGGAGTTGGAGACCAGCCTGAGCCAGAGCAAGACCCCATCTCTCAAAAACTAGCTAGGCATCATGGTGGGTGCCTGTAGACACAGATACTCAGGAGGCTGAGGCAGGAGGATCACTTGAAGCCAAGAGTTTGAGGTTACTGTGAGCTGTGATGACACCATTGGCACCTACCCAGGGAGACAGAGTGAGAGTCTGTCTCAAATAAATAAATGAAATGTTAATTTTTACTGTGAAGAGTTGTTCATAAGATAAACACACACTAGTTTGATTTTGTGTCTTTGTGTGTGTATAAATTCGCTGCAGGTACCCTGAGCCAGGAACACCAGAGGTTTCAGACCAGTTTGATTCTGGCTGTTAATTCTCATATGACTGTAGGACTTCCTACTAAATGTCCATCAGTGGGTCTGTGCTGTCTGTGGAAGTTTATCATTTTCTTCAGAATGGTAGAGAATGATAAATAAAATTTGTGGTCAAAAGATATTAATGTACATTTGAAGGTTTAAAGTTTTATTATAACTCACCTATGAGCAGTGGGTTAGAAAGAAGGAGACACTGTCCCTGTTCGTTGAGGTGACAGATTTCATGGCAGTTTCTGTGGCCAAGCTGAGAAAGTGATCGCCAGCTTCCCTCCCAAGCCAGACTCTACGTTGTAGTGTCGGGAGTCAGCCCCTAGGTGGCTCCGCCTTTCTCGCCCCTCCTGCCCTTTGTTGCTGTCCTTGCTACCCGTGAGTGCTAATATGGAGACTTAGACTCACACGTGATCTTTGCAAGTGGAGGGCTGAGAGACGGTGTTCTGTAAAGGTGGTGGTAAAGGGTGAGATAAACCTTCCTGCACGTTATTGTGAAACTTGACCCTCCATGTCTGACAGGCTGGTGGGCTGAGTGGACTTCCTGTGCACATTTTTGTATTCATTGTGATTGTCTAGCTATGGCAACAATATTTAGAAAACATAGTTATGTTTAAGGTAAATTAATAAGATTGAGAGATAATTCCTTCAGTTGGTAAGATGGGAGCAAGTGTCTTTTTGAAAGAACCTCAGAGTTTAGAATGTGAGAAAAGAATGAGGGCAGAGTTGAGGTGCTGCCTGCAGCTGCCCTGAGGGGTCCTGCCTCCTCTCCCGGCTGGCTAGGCTTCTGCTCCAGGCTCAGAGGCGGCAGCTGCTTCTAGTGGAGGTGGGTGTGTTCCTGAGGCGGCCCAGGTTTCAGCACCTCGTCCAGCTCTCAGCACCATCTGATTTGTCAGGTGGAATTTTGGTTTTACCGATAGTCTTTTGGGGTTGTGTAATTGCAATGATTGTGTTTTCCACTTTGTAAATTGGGACACAGGACAAATAACTTGAACTTCTTGAGAAGTTCAGAGTGAAGGACCGCATATGTAACATGAGGTGAGGAAAGAAGGGGCTGGAGATATTTTCGGGAACTCCAGGGCTTTGGTGAGTAAGAGGCGGAGCTTCTCCCACATTTGCTAGTCACCTGCCCAGGTGAGCACCCAGAGGTGCTGCAGGATGAGCGGGGTCCTCGTGTGCGACTCAGTAGTTCCATTATTTGACACGAATCTCTTAGAAGCTATTGTATTACTGTATTGATTAAAGTAGAAAATATTTTTATTACAGGGTGGAAGACTACCTCCCAAAACGAAACAAAATGAAGTAACGAATGTCCAGCCTTCTTCCAAAAGAGCCAGGTATGAATAATAACCTAACATTTTTATGCTCAGCTGTCTTTCAGAGGTCTGTTTTGGAAAATTGTTGGCAATTAGGGAAAGTTTCCAAGGGTGTAAAAGCCTTTGCCTTTTGCTTCCTGGCTGCTGTGATATGTCTCATTTTATTGCTGAAGATGGTTTGTAATCCTGTAGGCCTTTACACACAGGGCGCCCATGAAGTTCATTTGCAGTTTGAAATACTTGTAAGTTTTAAATTGCACATGAACTTCATTGGACACCCTGTATGTTTTTATTGCATTTTTATTGTATGTTTTTATTCAAAAAGATTTTAAGCAGCACTTTACCAGAACTCCCCCCACCCAGCCCCTATATGTAAAATAGAAGCTTCTACGGTGGAAATGGGGTGGGAGGTGCCCCCCCCAGCCCCAGCCCCCCAGGGCACTGATGAACAATCCCTACTCAGTGAGGGGGGAGCCTTGGATCTGCCAGTTGTCATGGGACAAAACAGTATTATTAGCCTTGCCCTGGTGGGAAAAAGAATCTAAGACCTTTTAGAAGGCCAGGTCCACAGCCCCCAGCACCTGTGTGTGGTGTTGCCACCTTGTGGTGTGGGGGTTTACATGTGTATCGTTCTGCCTCATCTGGGAAAGACGGTTGTCCGATAACAAAGCCCTGCTGGTTACTTAGTAAGTGAGCATAGCAGGTGCACCCCAGTCCAGTCCTCTGGTGTCCAGAAACTTCTGCTTCCAAACTGGACCTGGTGAGACACAGCTGCTCGGCTGGTCTTCTGCAGTGGCTCTTCTCCTGTATTTCTCTCCTTGAATTCCACACACTGAGCTTTTGACTTGGTAGTAAAATCCTAATTGTGTGATTTTTTTTTTTTTTAAACTGTAATCATATTGCTACAAATAAATTTTTCCTAGACTGTCATTTAAATATAAGCTAAAAAGGATTTGGGAAAGGACACGTAAAGGACCAAGAGGTTTACTGTAACGTGTGTGTTTGTTCTACACCTTGTGGAAGGGAACAGAGGACTAGACTTAGAAAGGTCCTGGTGGCTGTCAGCACTTCCCTCGGCTGCTTGTGTTGGTGGTGAACATGGATGCGAGCCGTGGCAAGAGGCTGTTTTTAAAAAAAATGAAAAGCAGCCATGATACTGTTTGAAGTCGCAAAATCGGGGAAAATATAGAAACCTGCTTTCTTTTTAAAACCAATTTAAGAAAACTAATTGTGGGGGGGGGGAGTTGATGAAGAAGAGAACGCTGCCGTCACTGCAGGGGACTGGGGAGCCTCCTCGGAGGTTTCCCGCATCCTCCTGGAGACTGAGCTGGGGCAGGACAGGACGGGAAGACACAGGTGAAGGTGTTAAGGCTGCTGAACCCTGGGACTCCCTCCTTTTCTAACCGTCACCACTTTGCATGTCTTTTGCAGAATAGAGGACATCCCGCCTCCCACTAGGAAGCTAACCCCAGAGTTAACCCCTTTTGTGCTGTTCACTGGATTTGAGCCTGTCCAAGTTCAGCAGTATATTAAGGTGAATTTCGTCGTCCTCTGCACACAGCAGTGTGCTTTTGTGTGTGTGCTCACTTCAAGCCAGCAGCTGGTTGAACGTTACATGTCGTGATGCTGCCTTGTTCTAATAGTCTGTACGGGAATGACCGGTCCCTCAGGTTGGAGTGGCTTCCCGCCCTGCTGGCTGCTTCAGGTGCTTGCTTTCTCATTAGGAGAGGCCACCGTCCTTCATACAGTCTCATGAACATTTTCAGGGACAATAAAAGTGTGTGTGTCATCTGGCCTCAGAGAGGACTGTGCCTCTTTAGGTTCTCTGATCAAAACTGTCTACCAAGACGAGTTTTCTAGAGTGAGGCCAAAAGGGCTTTCTAGTAGTTTAGATGATAAATGGGAGTAGATTTTAAATACTCTTTTTGAAATAATTGCACAAGGGGTGATGGGGTTTTGTTTTGCTCCCTCTTTTTGGTGGCAGGTGGGTGGTTGAGAATGGAAGCTGATGTGTACCATGTTGGATTCATACATTTTATCCCTCACTTTTTTAAGGAAAAGAAGCAATTATGGCAGCGCCCGTAGCTCAGTGGTTAGGGCACCAGCCACCTATACCCAGGCTGGTGGGTTCAAACCCAGCCAGGCCTGCTAAACAACACTGACAACTGAAGCAAAAAAATAGCTGGGCGTTGTGGTGGGCGCTTGTAGTCTCAGCTACTCTGGAGGCTGAGGCAGGAGAATCACTTAAGCCCAAGAGTTGGAGGTTGCTGTGAGCTGTGACACCATGGCACTCTACCCAGGGCAACATAGTGAGACTCTGTCTCCAAAAAAAAAAAAAGCAATTATAAAAACTGCTGTTAAAATTTAGTGCGATTTTATTTTTCTACTTTTAAAATATGAGGCTTGTTAATAAAAGGTTATTTCACATGTGTCTCAGTCTGTATGCCGTCCTGTTTTATAGCGGAGCCGTTGTCAGTGTTAACAGCGTGTCCGCGCGGGCCGGGCGCACTCACTGAGATGAGCGCCTCGTTCTGCATTCACAGAGACTGGGACTGGTGTTTGGAGAGTTTATGTCCACGTGGTGTGGAATTCACCGTAATAATGTAAATGATAAGTTTTGACTGGTACTTTTCTCCTGTAGTTCTGTGGGTTTTCTCTCATTCCACCCTTTGCACTGTTTGGTGCTGAGAGCTGCGTTCGCGCCGTGTTCTCTCTGCCCTGTTGTGTTCTCCATGAGAGTGAGCTTTTCCCTCTGCCTGTGTTTGTGACCTTCAGAAGCTCTACCTTCTTGGTGGGGAGGTCGCTGAGTGTACGCAGAAGTGCACGCACCTCATTGCCAGCAAAGTGACGCGCACGGTGAAGTTCCTGACGGCCATCTCGGTGGTGAAGCACATAGTGACGCCAGAGTGGCTCGAGGAGTGCTTCAAGTGTCAGAAGTTCATTGGTGAGTGGCAGCCTCAGCGCCTGTGTTGGAATGTCAGATAAACTTTCATTTTTTAAAATTCATCTCCATTTTTATCCTAACAAACATGTATATGAAGGATGGGCTTTTCTTCCTTAGAGTAGTAAATATACCTAGATGATTTTAGAATCTTGCTAAGTATAAAACGATTATGAATTGTAGGTGATTTATTTTCTTCTTAGAAGCTATCATAGCCAAGACAGATATGCACCTTCACTCTCCTTTGTAGCAGTGGTGTCACCCTTTATCTGCAAGGTTACTGTCCCCAGTTGTCATCTAGGCCAGGCACCTCTTCCCTTCCCCAGGTGTGTCCTGAGACCTACCTCCCCTGGCCCCTTGTTTGGATGGAGGAAGTGAGAGACACACACCCCATGCTGAGCTCCATCTTCTCAGTCGCATTTTTCACTTGTTCTTGTACGCCAACCACACTGGGACCAGAACTGAACTCCCTGGCTGCCCTATTGTAAGCGATAGTGCTGGTTACCAGCCTCTGATGTCAGGCATCTCCACCTTTGTGTCTCTGTGCCGGGGTCTGCCCTGTGTTGCCAAGTTCTTACACTTGCTCACCTCTGCCCACCTGCCCTGCCCACCTATTCTGCCCCTTAAGCAGAATAGGAAAGAATAAATTATTAGTATCAAGAAAAAACAGAACTCTCGACTATAGTGTTGGGGCAGCGCTTGTCCTTCATGGCGGTCGTGTTCTGTGAAGTCTCTGCACACGTTGAGTCCCTGTGTCTGCAGCGTGTGGGGCTCCTGGGGAGACACAGGGTACAGTTCCCCAGAGTTGATTATACGTAACCCTGTTCAGCCGTGTTTGACCTACCTAGAGACCTGCCTTGCTGAAAATAGATTGTTAATTCATCAACGTTGAACTTGGAGCCAGCGACACTGTCCCTCAGCCTCGCTGACTCCATGTCTTCTCCATGGGGCACATCGTGTCCCTCCTGCACTTGGAAGTGCTGGACAGCACTGCACACTGCACTTGGGGCCATTTAAACAGTGAGATCACCCAGAAAAGCGTACAGATGTGAAAAAAGTAGCACTGAATAGACCACAAAGAGGATGCTTTTTCACTGTGTGAGCAGGAATGAGAAGGCAGGCGTTGCGTGACTCACCTCGGCTGTGGCCATGCACACGACGACTCAGGTTTTCTCCACTGTACGTGTCTGCAGAGGACTGTGAAGTGCCTTGAGCACTGACAAATAAATTGGGGTTCAAATAAATTGTAGCAAGCAGCCAGATTCACAGAGATAGAACCTGGATAAAGAGGGACAAGTATATTAAGTAGTATTTAGAAATTTTTTTTGACTGAAGCTTTAGATACTTTTTTGTTCTTAAAGATATTAATGAAATAAAAACTTAAAAATGAAGGAAAAAACCTACAGAAATAATTATTAGAAACACGTTTTTAGCTCCCACCTTTGAATAACGTCAGAGTTGGACGATTCTGAGTGATTTCTGTGTGGGGAGGGAAGCACGTGAGCAGGGACACGGGACAGGCTGGGGTCCACCTGCTGCGGGCAGCACCAACCTTCGCCATCTTCATTGTTGCTTCTCTCTTCCTCTCTCACGTGGAGCTTGCCAGTTTGTTGACAGTTAGCTTGCCAAGTGACCGATGTAGTGAATGACCAGTTCACTTAACTTCTCAAGGTTGCTCATTTGTGAAAGTCTGATTTCTATGTTGATGGACGTTGTAGTTGAAAGGAAGTTGACTGCCTTTCATTTCTTTAACATTGTTGATCTCTGAGGGATATAAAGTGGTTTAGTTATAAACATTTAGTATTTGGGAAAACATATTTTGTATTTTATCCTCTTTTATCCTCTTAAGTTTTAGCATTTCTTAACCTAAGAGAATTTTTGTAGTTGATGATGAACCTTTTCAAAAATAGACTTCCTTAGGGCAGTTTTAGGTTCACAGGAAAATTGGCCAGAAAGTGCCGAGAGGACCTGTGGGCTCCCCGCCCGCACACCTGCAGGCAGCCTCCCTCCCGCACAGGGGCCTGTTTGGGACTCGCCCAAGTCCATAGTTACATTAGGATTAACTCTTGGCATTAAACAGTCACTGTGCTTTGACGGATGTGTGACGATGTGTGTACCACGATGGGGCCACACAGAGCCGGGTACCTGTGCTCTGCCTGTTCACCCTAACCCTTCCCCACAGCCCTTGGCAACCACTCTCCATAGTTTTGCCTTTTCCAGGATGTTGTGAAGTTGGAGTCCCATCCTACGTAGCCTTTTCGAGTTGGCTTCCTTCTCTTAGAGATACACGTGTAGGTTCCTCAGACCTTTCTCTGGCTTGATAGCTCACTTCTTTGTAGCACTGAATAATATTCCACTGTCAGGATATACCAGTTTATCTGTTCACCTATTGAAGGACATTTTCGTTGTTTCCAAATTTTGGCCGTTAGCAGTAAAGCTGCTGTAAACATCAGGGTGCAGGTTTGTGTGTGGTTGCTGGCTCACGTGGTAAGGGTCTGTTTAGTTTGTAAGGAGCTGCCAGACTGCCTTCACGTGCTGCACCGTCCTGCGTTCCCACCAGTGCTGGATGGGTCCTGCGGCTCCACGTGCTCCCGTGTCTGGTGCTGTGCGTGTTCAGGGCTCTGCTGATTGACAGGTGTGTGATGTGGTGCTGGTGCAGGTGGTGGTTCCGGTCTGCACTCTCCTGATGTGGCCCTGCTGAGTGACTTTTCCCTTCTGTGTGTTTGCTCTGGTGAAGCGTCCAGATCTTTTGCCTGTTTTTAAATCTGGTTCATTGTCTTATTGTTGACTTGTGAACAGTTAACTTGTGAATCTTGGAGAACAATCCTTTATCAGACATGTCTTTGTGACATTTTCTCTCAGTCTGTGAATTATCTTCTCATTCTCTTGGCATTGACTTTTGTGGATCAGAAATTTTTAATTTTAATGAAGTCCGTTCTTATTTTTTTTTTTTTTTTTGTAGAGACAGAGTCTCACTTTATCACCCTCGGTAGAGTGTTGTGGTGTCACAATGTTCACAGCAAACTCCAATTTCTGGAGTTAGGCGATTCTCTAGCCTCAGCCTCCCAAGTAGCTGGGACCACAGGCACCCACCACAATGCCCAGCTATTTTTTTGGTGCAGTTCAGCTGGGGCCAGGTTTGAACCCATCACCCTTGGTATATGGGGCCGGCACCCTACCCACTGAGCCACAGGCGCCGCTCTCCATTCTTTCTTTTATGAATCATGTCTTTGGTGTTGTATCTAAAATGTCATCTCAAGTGTTTCCGTAGTGTAGTGGTTATCACATAAACTGCCATCTCCAAGGCCGGGTGTGGTGGCTCATGCCTGTAATCCTAGCACTCTGCAAGGCTGAGATGGGTGGATTACCCGACCTCTTAGTTTCGAGACTAGCCCGAGCAAGAGCGAGACCCTGTCTCTAAAAATAGTCAGGCATTGTGGTGGGCGCCTATAGTCCCAGCTACTTAGGAGGCTAAGGCAAGAGAATCGCTTAATCCCAAGAGTTTGAGGTTGCTGTGAGCTGTGATGCCACAGTACTCTATTGAGGGCCACAAAGTGAGACTCTGTCTCAAAGGAAAAAAAAACTCTAGCCTCAAGTCTACCATATAAGAGCAAAGAGAAGATGACTGACGTTCTGTTCAGCTGTGGCATTTAGGACCTTCACCAGGTGCACAGTAGCTCCCAGGGAGCACTGCTGTCTGGGCCAAAAGCTTCATGTCCTCTTGCTGGGCATGGAAATGGTCAGCTGGACAGGTCTTGCTGTCCACCTGGCCTCCCACAGATGGCACATGGCCATCACGGGGCACTTCTCAACCGTCATGAAGGGTGATGGTTTCTGCAGGGACATTGTCATGTCTCCTTTCTCCACAAAGGTCCAGGTCTACTTGTCCTCTGCGTCTGTTTGAAGTGGCCACTGCTGTCCAGGGTGTAGCCAGTGTCATTGTGCAAGTGTAAATGCTCTTCGACACACATCCTAACCTTGTCTTCATCCAGGTGGTTTACCTTCTGTGAAGGTGGTTATGTCCATTCAAGCATAGTTTCTCCATGTTTGAAGCTTTTCTAATTCTGGATCAGCATCCAGCTTCCATAGGGCACCCCAAGCCTGTGCAGCTGCTCCAGGCCCACTGGGTGGCTGGTCTCAGGATGGTGGGGCTGCCTGGGTCATCCAGGTAGGGCAGAGGGCCAGGCTGTCTTAGTCGCCCCCGAGGCTACAAGTGCTCAGGAGTTGGCTGAAGCGTGTTCCTCAGTTTTATTTCTCTAGTTTTTAGACGTTCTTCTCTCACCTGTGAAAGTACTGGTTACTGATAGATGAATTTTGTATTTGTAGCGGTTAGTAAATATTTTAGCATTTCTGTAGTAATGAGATTGCTTTTGCCCAGCAAACTGTGGTTTTACATTTTTAAAACATTGTTTAAAAAACAGATAAAGAATATGCACCAGAAGTAACACATGGCCCACAAGTCCTAAAATACATGTCAGCTGGTCCACTCCTGTCTGCTGACCCTGTACCCCCCTGCTGATGTGTGCATTTGGTCCACTCCTGTCTGCCCATCCCGTACCCCCCTGCTGGTGTGTGCATTTGGTCCACTCCTGTCTGCTCACCCTGTACCCCCCTGCTGATGTGTGCACTTGGTCCACTCCTGTCTGCCCACCCTGTACCCCTCTGCTGATGTGTGCATTTGGTCCACTCCTGTCTGCCCACCCCGTACCCCTCTGCTGATGTGTGCATTTGGTCCACTCCTGTCTGCCCACCCCGTACCCCCCTGCTGATGTGTGCATTTGGTCCACTCCTGTCTGCCCACCCCGTACCCCCCTGCTGATGTGTGCATTTGGTCCACT